ATAGATTGGAGGTGAAAAAAACCCAATTTAGTTCAATAAGAACTGAGAATAAACATGCATAATTATATTTGTCCTGATTCTGTCACCTTATAAATATATGTAATAGATATTCATAGTCTCACCCACAACCCATAAAAGATCAATTCCCAAAATTATGGAATGTTTATTCTCCATAAAATTTTAGTTAGAGTTTCATCAAAGCTGACTCATTTGGCTTTTTATGATATATAAATTAGTTTTAAAATTTACTGTAGCCTTTGACAGTGACAGATGACACTCATAGACAACCAAAGACAGATGAGACCAGTTACCATAAAATGACCATATTATCCAAAAGAGTAAAGAACAGATACAATTACTATGTCTCCTAAACTGGAAGGCACCCAACAATCTCTTTTGGTGGGTGTCTATAGGGTGGAAATTAATCCATTGGCCATTGTATTCACTTCCCAGGACTGCCATAACAAAATGCCACACACTGGGTGGTTTAAACAACAGTAATTTTTTGGCTCACTGTTCTGGAGGCTGGAAGTCCAAGATCAAAGGGTCAGCAGGTTGGTTTGTTCACAGCACTCAGGTCTCTGCTTTTTGTTCACATTGCGTTTTCCTTGTCTGCATCTCTTTAATAAAGATACGCGTCATATTGGATACTGTCCTCTACCATGACCTAATCTTAACTAGTTACATTTGCAATGACCTTATTTCCAAATAAGGTCACATTTGAGGTACTAGGTGTTAGGAACTTCAATCATTGTTTGGGGGGACATGATTCAACCCATAATAGCCAAAGAGTCAAAAAATAGAAAGAGGTCACCATACCATTTTCCCCAGGTCAGTTAGTAAAGATCTGCTTTCTGATTTTATGCAAATATGTTGACATTTATCCTAGCCACAGTAGAAGAAAGTGTCTCAATCATAGCCTTTGAGGAGACTACAATCAGTATAGTAGTTAGAATACAAGTTTCTTCTGTTCTAACAGTGATGTGAATAGTAAAAGATGAGATGGGGGTTTCTTCCCCCCTCAGTTAATCATCTGAAATGAAGCAGTCAAGGAATGATTTGACTCTCAGGGACTAGCAAGGACCCAGGCATCTTTTATAGGATGGCCATCCTTGACATGGAGCTTCCATCTCTAGACTCAAGATGGCTGCTCCAGCTCTTGCCACCTTGTCTGTTACTAGGAAGGAAACTGGATAAGGGAGTGTATGACTATCTCTTCTGAGGGCACAAGTAGGGAAATAGAACATACTACATCTATCTTCCCACTGAACAGAACTTAGTTGGTTGGCTATTCCCAGCTGCCAGACTCGATCCCGGGACTCCAGGATCATGACCTGAGCCGAAGGCAGATGCTTAATGACTGAGCCACCCAGGTGCCCGGACATTTCAGGGTTTTACATTTTTAAAACTGTCTTTCTTCCCCTCCCCATCCCATCAATCAGTAAAGCATGACCATTTTAACTGTAGAGTTTCATACAATCCCATGTTCTGACCCATTCCTGAAGCTGCTTCTGGTTCCGGTTCTGACCTCCACTGTCTCTCAGTCTACACAATTCTCAGAGCCTCAGTTGTCATGCATTCTAACTCTTCCTACGCTAACATCAGAGATGCCAAAAGATGAGGAAAAGCATAATGTCTCCTGGGCAAATGATGGATTCAGTTCACAATGGAGAATTTTTTTAATTTCCTACTCTTCTAGATATTTATATGCATCATCTTACATAATACTCAGCGACAGCTAAGTTAATTAACAGCTAACTAAATAAATTAAGCATATTCCACATGCCAGACCCTCTGCCAACAACTCTACCTTACTCTAATCTCACAAACTAATAATGTAAGTGCTTTCGATGTTCTCATTCATATATTAGGAAATAGAGATGCATTAAGAAACTGAAGCTTTAAGAAACTGAGTAAATTACTCAGGGTTGGAGATTGGATAAATGGTAGAACTAAGATTTGAACCAACTGGTCTCCAGAATTTGTTTCCTATTAGTTTCCAATGAGCTTTCTCTCTTAACCATTAAATTCTACAACCCCATATCAATCATAGAAGGGCATTATTGTTATACCATTTTATAAACCAGGGATGCTCATTAACCCTCCCAAGGTCACAGACATAATTCAATCCAAGTTGACCAGACTTTAAAAACCTAGGTTCTTTCTTTCACATTATACAACTTCTCATTTAATGTCCCATGGTTAAAAGCTACCCCTTAGTCTCCCTGAGATAGTTTACATCTGTGGACTTGAGGCTAAGAGAAACTGATAAAAGAGTGGCAATTGGTCAGCACAACATCCACAGCTTCAGAAAGACATTCAAAGTACATACTCTCCAAAGTGGTGGTGCCAACTTTATAAAATCATACCAGCCAGTTTATTGAAATTCCACTTAGGATGTTGTGGGTCCATGTTGGACTTTTTTCCAAAGTTACAATGGCTGAGATGTTAAGTTCTGATATTCATTGGCTTACACTGGTCTTGTATAGAATAAGGAAGCTCCAAGAGAGCAGGGAATATGGTCATGTCAATCTTTCCTGAGAGTGGGGATTCAGAGAGTGGGGTGGTAGGTTTGTTTTCTTCTGTTAGTATTAAGCCAATATCCCAGGTTTCTGATTGCTCATTATCCTAAAACACAGCCAAAAAAAAAAAAAAAAATCAACAGAGGCTCAGTCTCTGATAACTTGAAATTATGCAGACCAAAATAACTTTGAAGTATATGTGGGTGGGTCAGTTTTTTAGTAGTAATAAGTACTTATAAGATGTAGCTTGGAACTCTGGACTCCATCTAAAGGGAGAGTGGTCTTTATGGGCTATACTCACCCACTTAGTAGGCATGAAAAAAGCAAAAGAAAATCAAGATTTGGAAACATGAGATGGACAGAAGCAAAAGAAGTCTTAATAAATCCAATTCCAAGAAATGGTTACAGCCTATGAAGACAGAAAGTTGATACCCAATGTCACTGGAGACTGGGAACCAAAATCAGTTTCCTTAGTTCTAAAAGATGTGTCTTATTAGTTTAGCAAAGGGAAAATACATTCAAGTGCATTCATGTTATAAGTGAAGGGTCTTAAGGGGGGAAATGCTAATATGAATATAACACCAAATTGTTATTTATGAAGGTGAAGTTCAGGGCTCCATCTCTGACCATCATTCTTCCCTTGCACTGTAACTACTGGCTTGATTAAACTATCTGATATTCCCGCTACATAAAAAGTGTAGTCATGGGCACCTGGGTGGCTCAGATGGTTAAGCGTCTGCCTTCGGCTCAGGTCATGATCCCAGGGTCCTGGGATCGAGCCCCACATAGGGCTCCCTGCTCGGCGGGAAGCCTGCTTCTCCCTCTCCCTCTCCTCCTGCTTGTGTTCCCTCTCTCACTGTGTATCTCTCTGTCAAATAAGTAAATAAAATCTTTAAAAAAAAAAAGTGTAGTCATCCTGCATCCATGCATTTAGACACACACACACATACACACACACACACACACACACACACCATTACCTTTCTTCTAGCTAATATCCTTTGGGTCTTAGCTTAGATGTTATTTCCCCCCAGGAAGCCTCCTGTAATATCCCCCAAACCCTATAAGGTGCCATCTTTAACAGCCTAAACAGCTGCAGTCTGGGTCACTCTGTACAGAATGGCCTGTCTACCTGTCTGCTTCTTCCATTAAGACTCGAAGTTCCTTGATGGCAAGAACTTGCTGCCTTGGTCATTACTGTATCCTTAGGGGGTAGCACAGTGCCCACAAAGTATTTAGGTGCTCCGTGTAAATCTGCTGAATGAACACATAGATTTTGCAGTTTAGAGAGCAAGTCCTGTTGCCATCAATGTTCCAAGATGTGTTCTTTCCTGAAACAGATTGGCTAAGATAAAAGGAGTGCCGATTATATCAAAGAGCTGTTAAGTTGGCTCTGCAGTTAGTATCGCTTGCCTATCATGGTAACGGGAATGCTGGTCACAAAGAGTCTGTTGACCCTCTTACCAAACAGCTACTTGCACCACCTCTGTCCCTGCTGATCAGAACCTTACTCCCCGTCCAGAGGCAGAAAATGCCAAATATTCTGTTTCTCAGGCTCCCTTGCAGCTATGTGACCCAACTGTAGACAAGGAAATGTAAGGGGGGGTTCCACTTGGGTTTCTACTAAATATTTTTTACCTTCTAAAAAGGGATTCTGGGAACTCTCCTCTTCCTTCTTGCTGCTGGAAGACATAAAGTAGCTCTCTTTAGACTGAGGTGACAAGCCTGACAATTAAAGTTAGTATGTTAAGAAAAAAAAAGCCAGTGACATCATGGAATGGTTGTGGGAAACCTGACTTTGTCACCTTAGGATTTACTGCTATGTGTGATTGTTAGTGTCTTTAGCATTTGGACCCCTGTTGATCAGGAATATTTTGTTACTTACAGGTGAACACGTCTAACTAATCATGTAAGAAACATGCAAAGTTTCCTCTGTGGCATCATGATATTCCAAAGCCAGTATAAGCTGGCAGGTGGGATTAGGATACCCAGGAGCTGAAATCATTATTGGAAGAACTAAAGACATGAAAGGACCATCTAATGATGAAATCTTTTGGCTAAAGATGAAATCCATGGGCTTCTATTAAAGAAAGACAGTGTGTTTGCCTACATTGGAGGAGAAGCCTGAGAGGGTAAATCGGAGAAGGACATTCACAAGCATGTTCCTTCTTCATGTCTTTGTTCAGAATTGGCTCATGAAACAATTTTACAGATAACTACCTGCCTAGGAAATTCTCATTTGCCCTAGTAGTAAAAAATGCTCAAAAACCATATGTATTTTCCAGCAATAAATTTTTGGAGGGCCAGAAGGAACCGATGAAGGGGACCCCTTATGTTTGGGTGGTTACTTACAGACACCATTCACATCACTTCCCAGCCTGACCCACATGGAATCCAGCACCATTCATTCCTTCTCTTAGGAAAAAAAGTCATCATTTGTCTGCATCCCTTCTCAACAGAACATACTTTCCCAATGGTACCTATTAATTTATTATTAAATATGATATTGCATATTCACAATTTTATATAATACTCATTGAAAAATATAGAGGGATCATTCGGTACTTTCTGAGAAAGTCACAACATCCTTCAAACCAGAGTGGACAGATGACAACAAACAGAACACAGACACTTTGACACGAGACACAAGATCTCCTGCAGACGCCTTCTCCCACCAACCACACTCCTTTTTCCCCGTGTTCTCCAGCAATTTCGGGAGCTTTCGCCACACAGTTTGGCTCCAATGAACCACTCCCAGCAGCAGACTACAAACACAGCTGGGATGTAGGTTTGTATATTCACAGGTCAGTTCTGCCTCTTTGTGGTGTTGCTAATGCAGGAGTGAATAGCTATGGATCTGGTCTTATTTTCCCATACAAACCACAGAAATGGAACTGCGTGGGTTGGAAGAGATGGCAGCGAGTGAGCAAACAGGTTTCTGTGGGTCATTTGGGGCCAGGAGTACTGGTGGACTGAGGGCAGGTGCAGAAGGCTCAGCACCAAGGCAATGCAGTGTCTGGCTTGGCAGAGTTGCAAGTAACCGACAGGAAATCACATACCCACTGGAGAGCCTCAGTGGGAGGCATGGAGGTAGTGAAAAATAATTCAAAAGCTCCTCTGAATCATGAGAAATACTTTTTAAAATCTGATCATCCATTCTAATGTCATTTATCTGCCTAAGGTCAACTACTTTCAGAATTCCCTGCTCCTGGAAGCCTCTGAACTGTTAACACTAAACATTGTGCGTCTTTAGGGAAAATGATCACTACTCTTTGGAATCCCGATGAGCTAATTCTCCAGCAGTGAACTCCCAGAGAACCAGAACCCTGGTCCTTCAAAGAGTGTCCCAGGTTGATTCCAATGCGATATAGCGTGTTTAGTCATACATAAGTGAGCGCTAGGATTATTGTTCTTAGTATCATTACTATTTTCAAGGCTTAAAGTTTGTTTATGAAATAAAGGGTGATTTTTTTCCCCTAAAATGTGAAAGCTTTTATGTACATAAAAAAGCATGACTTGGCTTTTGGAAATTTACTTGGTAGCCTGGGAGCTAGCGCCTCATTAACTTGGATAATTTTAAATGGAATTGGTATCTTCTGAGCAATCAAAGTCAAACTGTCATATCTCATTCTTCCAGACACCGGGCTGGGTATTTCATAATGCCCAAAAAATAACTACAAAAACAACTTTTTCCAAATGGTCTGGAGCCTCTTTCCCCCAAAATTAAAGCACCCAACCCCGATTATATTTAAGATAGGACTCGGAGATTACTGCTTTTTAAATGTCTTCCAGAATTTATATACTGAATTTATATACTGAATTTTCTCCTTCAAAATAGTCCCCTTTTGACACTTACACATTCATCCCAAATATGATCACAATAATTGTCAAGGCCAGGCACCAGTACAATACTGGGTATGTAGGTCTTAATAAATATTCTGTGATTGAACGAGTCCATGAGTGAGTGATAAAAGAACAGATAAATGAATTTAGAGCTTGCCTTTCGAGGACCCCCTTCCAATCCAGTAACACTTTTGTTTTAAATATCTAGACTAATGGCAAAGCTTGTGTTTTGGGGGTGAATGTGATTAGTAAAAACAGTCAAAATCACTTAGAACCAGTCTTGGGAATAGGAGACACAATTCGGGGGGATAAGGGCAGTTAGGGAACACAAGGCATGATCAAAATATTACAGGTCTGACTTTCTTGTGATTGGCCTCAGAAGGCAATGCCAGAAATAATTTACCAGCATTAACAGCTCTGGATCAGGTACATCGACTCCAGGGTAATGGCTTTGAGAGGCTATGCTCAAGATAGAATAGTCAGCATGCTAATCTCCACACTAATTTTCTCTAATTGGGCGTATACATTTATGGTCAGTGTTTATATAATATATATTTAAGTGTGATGGGGGCAGGGGGTGAGGGGAGGTCCTGGAGCCTTTGTTAATCTCAAATCCACAAAACTTCATTGTTCCCATCTGCAAAAGAAAGAATCAAAGTCCGCGATCTCTTTAAACTTTCCCAGAACTAACATTCAATAATTCTATACATAAATAGGTGTACCATTGTTCACATATCTCCAAGCACTCTCACTCACTCACTTTTCAGAGGCTTCATATTGAGGGGATGTGTTCCTTCAAATAGCCGCAAGGCCCTGAGGGAAGTCATGCATTAGGGTCTAGACCATCAGGGGTGCGAAGCTCCTAGAGCAAGGCGAATGGGACCCACATACACACACACCCCTCTGTCCCACTCACAGTAAACTATCTGTCCCCCAACAGGGACAATTATTGAAGTCATCATCACAGTTTACATTCATGTGAAATCATTTTTATAAATTATAGAGTGTGGCCGCTCTTTCAATGAACTATCAACTCTTCATGAAGTTTCAATGAACTTCAACTCTTCATTCTACTACAAAGGTAGAGGAAGTGCTTTCAAATGGAAGGATGACGACCGGCTTGAGAAAGTCCCGCTTCTGATTGTGTCCAAAGTATCTTATTCTGTAGCTTCCAGGCTGGGCAGTGTCTGGAATATACCATTGGATGGTGGCATTGCTGTGACCCAGCAGTCCCTTGTGCCAATAGAAACTGTTGGTAGAAAACAAACAAGCCAGCCAAGTTTTACTCTTAAAAATGTGTGATTAGAAAAATGAATGAGTATTCAGGGAGTACCTACCCTAACCGAGGCATTATCCTGGACATTGGGAGTGCAGCAATGAACAAAACAGAGTCCACGATCTCTTTAAACTTTCCCAGAACTAACATTCAATAATTCTATACATAAATAGGTGTACCATTGTTCACAAATAATATTCACTTTCTAGAAGAGATCCTTTAGGAAATAGCCATTTGTAGAAATAGTTTTACTTGTTCTACCTTTCTAACTACCAAACACTATCCACCCCAGGGAGCCTCCCTCACCTGATACTCAGAATACAGGATGTCTCTTGCGTAAGAACTGCTAGAACATTCCTTTTGCCCTTGTCATCCTCTGTGTTGACTGATACTGAAACTCCCATCTAGATTCATTTGTTAAAAGTATGTATTTAATGAGTGCCCATGCCAGACTCTATTCTAGAGGTCTGAGGATAGGGTAGTGAGCAAGACAGACATGGCCCAAGGTTCCATGGAGCGTATGCCCCCCTGGGGCAGGGTGGGAAGAAAGGTAATGAACAAGAAATCGACAAATGATCTTAAAAGTGCTAAGTGAAATGAACCAAGTGAGGCAGAGGTATCTCTAGGGAGATGTTATTTAAATGGAACCCACACATGCTCAGAGGAAAGACTTCCTGAATGAAGGAAAAGAGATGCAAAGTGGCTTCAGTGGGAAAGCACAAGGTGCAGTGGAGGAACAGAACATTCTGGTAGGATCAGAGTGGGGTGAGGTGCGGCACAGAAATAGAGTCAGCTGACAGCAGTCCTTGCAGACCACCACAAGGAGTTCGGATACTCCGCTAGGAAAGTGAGATACAAGGGGCTAACTGACTGATGTCCCCAGTGGTGTAGAGAGTCAGTGCTCTGGGCAGAGAGGGTATTCATGACAGAGATACTCCTGCTGGTGAACAGGACGGAGGCCTATCCATGTCCTCCGTGTTCACTGCTATTCTGATTTGGGGCTTTAAAAAAAAAATCATAGTTTTCTATTATCTGTATAATCTTGTTTTAACAATAAATATAAATTTATTATTTGTTTAAAAATGACCTATGCCCTAGAATCCTAAAGATCAGAGGAAAATGTATGCCCATATTTACGTGTGATTATCAAAGGGGCCACACTATGGTCAAACTTCGATTTTCGGTTAGCCATGGGAAGCAAACCCACACGCAACCCATCACTTAGTTTAAGACGATCCAAATTAGGGCGCCTGGGTGGCTCAGTTGGTTAAGCGACTACCTTCAGCTCAGGTCATGATCCTGGAGTCCCGGGATCGAGTCCCGCATCGGGCTTCCTGCTCAGCAGGGAGTCTGCTTCTCCCTCTGACCCTCCTACCTCTCCTGCTGTCTGTCCCTCATTCTCTCTCTCAAATAAATAAATAAAATCTTTAAAAAAAAAAAAAAGAAAGATGATCCAAATTAGACACAAATTGGCAAAACCTTTGCCCGCTTGTTGTGCAGTGTGAAATGGTATACACTTGGGAGCAGAAACATTTTCTTATTTTGGACACATTTTCAAATCTTCCAAATAAGCTTTTGGTTCAAATGAAGAACCATCAACGTGTACATGCATGCTATATTTTGCATATAGACTCATGATTTTCCCAGAAGGAGCATCAGGCTCTACAGAGCAATCGCAACACCTCCACACCAGCATGTCTTTCAGCCAGTTTGCAGGAAGGCTAGCCAGTCTTTAAGGGTAATGTCTGCGGCCATAGAAGAAAGCAAAACTAACAGATGTTTACAAAAATGGAGGCCATAACCTCATTAGCACCTAATCTTCCAGAAGCGCACACCACATTGTTTTGCAGAAAAACAGAATCAAAATGAAGTCTAATAAATCAACTAAATATGGCCAGAAGTCTCCTTGGGAATTTGCTATCATTAATATCATGCATTGAGCCAGGCTTCCCATTTGTCTTCCCTGCATTACTAACCAACTGTTGTCAAGGCTTGAAAGACAAAATATCCAACAGACATGCTCACCGAGTCTCCCAGGAGGCATCATTATGCACTATTTGCCATGTTGCTGATGCAGCTTCGTATTTCTCGACAGTGAGGAAGGTCTGATGGGTCTGAAATGCAATTAATATAACTGATGAGACCCTACACAGTCATAGAAGGAACTTGTCTGCAAATACGTCCCTTGTGGACTATAGGCCAACCTGCCAATACCTTGTGTGAAAATATATTAGAATTTCATCCAAATTCTTAGGTGCTTCTCTTTACATTCTAGGCAATGTCTTCAGAATGCTAATTTATCCAGGCTATTACACACCATGACTTTTTTTTTTTTTTTTTAGAAAACTGAATGATCATAATTTTGGAGCTGATAGCAAATTTTACAAACGGGGGCAGAGAAGAGATAGAATAAAACTTGAGATGTTTAAAAAGGCATAAGCCAAACCTTTTCATGACATGTTTATTGATCTATATTCCAAGACTTTCTCTAGTCACCTCAAGACTTGGGAGGGAAAATGAGAGAGTTTCTTCATCTTTCCTTCTCTGGGTAAATGAATTATGAGTAAATATACCTCCCAAGTGAAAGAATTGAAAAGGATGCATAAATCTTCCCTGTCCCTAGGGTGCTAAAAGTAATCCCTATATTTTGTCATAATGGATTCCTAGAAAGGACATCAAAAGCAGGTTTTATTTTTCCCATTGGAAAATTGCTATAATAATTCAATTCAGACTAAGAATTCCGTGTCAAATAAAGCACAGATTTGAATAATATAACAAATTAAAAGACACAGTGGCCATAAATCTCCAATTTTCCTCAAAAATCTTTAGATTGTGGGCTCTTACGGGCAGGACTTGTGTCTGATTCACTTTTATCCATTACAGCCCTTTATACCTGTCACAGGTGTTCAGTTAAAACTCTGCTGAATGGATCACTCACTAACACCTGGGCCATGGGATTATTTAAAACTCTACTCAACGAATAGGTTATATTCAATGAAGTTTTCATGATGATGGTGACTTGTAAAGAGAAGGGTTTCCAGCCATTTAGGGCAGAGTGACATCAGAGTGGCGGTAGATGGAGTAGGAGATTCGGTGAACTCTCAGGGACAGGTCTAGAGTGTAGACCAGAGAACAAGTCTAGGCCACTGTGTTTGTGAACTATGTGACTATCCTTTCCCCCCTCCCAACCCTAATCTCTACCTGATACACAATTAGTTAATACAAGTTACTTAAGCTTTCTAGGCTTGGTTTTCTCATCTGTAAAATGGGGACAATAAAATGTAAGCCAATGGATAGTAGGGAGAATTAAATGAGATTGATGTAATAATGTATGTAAAGCGCTTCACCGGGTGCCTACAAAGAGTAGGCATCTTCGATAAATAGTGGTAAGGATTACCAACAATAAAAGGGAGTGGAAATTGTATGCCAAGTCCCAGAGCACTATTAGAAATCAACTCTACTCTCGTTACAGTGCTTTAAGCATTTTGTTCTCCTGTTTCTGCAAGGCAGTAACGAGGATGGTATTTCTCCAGCCTAAGGACATCAAAGGACAGCTAATCCTGCAGTTTTGCCGTAACGCTTTGATAGCTTCAGAAAACAATGCTATAAACATGCAAATATTATGGCATGGTTTGACTGCCTAGAGAAATTATTTCCAACAGGTGCATGTTGACTTTCCAAGCAGTAGAACATTTTTCCCCAGTGTCATATTTGACAATGTCATATTGCCACAATTGTATCAGAGCACTAATGATATTTCAATGAACAGAAATGGAAGGTTCATTTGGGAGAACGGTGTTTGGGGTTATAAGAAACAATGGTCCCTGGGAAGAATGGCTCATGCATACAGTAAATGCATCCTCAGCCACACTAAAAAATCTGACCTTGAAATCACTTTTGTATACTTACTCTTTCTCCTACATATTTCTTTATTGTTTGAATTTTTACAACTAGAATATGCCTAGTTATTGCTTGTGTAGTTATAGGAACATTCTTTTTTATTTTTTTAGAGAGAGAGGAGGGGCCGAGGGGGAGGAAAAGAGAGAATCTTGAGCAGACTCCACGCTCAGCATGGAGCGTGGTTCGATCTCACGACCCTCACGATCTCACAACCCTCATGATCACGACCAGAGCTGAAATCAAGAGTTGGATGCTTAACTGACTGAGCCACCCAGGTGTCCCTGTTATAAGAACATTCTAAAGGAGTGACAAAGGAGTAAAATTAATTAATTTTATTAATAGCTACATTACATATGTATACTTTATATATGATCAAAACAATATATGAAATGATATATAACACACTCTGAACAATTATTACCTCTAAAAAGGTTTATGGACAGAGAGGTACTTTCACATTCCACTTTAAGCACTTCTATATGGTCTGTTTTTACATTGAACATGTATTTCTTGTGTCATTTTTCAAGATTAATAAATAAATATCCCATTAGTGCCAGCAGTAAAGAGTCAGGAAATGGCAAAGCAAGATAACGTAAAGCACCTGGGCCAGGGCCCCAAGCCAGTGGAACATCCCCCCAGGGTCCCATGATCACTCTGGAGGTAGGACCAGAGGCTACAGTGCTGGAGTAAGAGAGGAGCCAGAATGGGGGTAGGAAGGAACCAAAGATATACTTCATTCTTGGCCCTTTGGTTATTTTACCCAGTTTAGTAGAGTTTCTAAATTGGAATACATAAATGGGATTGTATTCAAATTTGTATCTTCTCAAGGGACATGTAGCTCTCTATGCTTTGTGCAATATGTGATCCTAAGCAGACCCGGTTAAATGTTTCCTGTGCTTTTTTCCCCCCAGACTGAATTCCACATTACTCTTCCTACTGAAAATTTCCCCACACCTAAAAAATAAGATGAAAAGCAAGTTGGAACATTTTATCATTATGTCCTTAACCTCTATAAGGCTATTCAAATGAAGACTAAAAAGTGGATTTAAATCTGTCAAAAGAATCATTGATGCTTACCTGGTTTTCTGCTGAATTCTTTGGGTTAGCGCCTACGAATGTAACTTCAACAACTTCTCCCTGAAGATAAAAACTCATTTTATGAGTTTGTTCTTTGCTGTGCTCATATTTGGGCCATGATTTATGAAATGTTCTAGGATTCTGGGCACCTGTGCAGATTCTATCCTATTTAATCAAGTGACTCATCTTCTGAGACTATCAGAGAACACACTCTTGCAGCAACGGACAAAGGAATTTTTGGCCAAGAAATTACTCAAGAATTTTTCGCCAATAAATTTGCTTTTAGTACATTCAGATAGAGATGAAGACAATGCATTAAAATGGTTTCTTCAACCTCTGATATGGTCTCACACTCCCCTCCAACACACATACAGGAAATGGACTGACTCAAATCAAAGCAGTCAAAACTTCCCGTGAATGACTTACATGGACACGGACATGCTCGTGTGAGATACAAAGTGGAATGACAAGGCGTGTACCTACCTTCCCACCTGAAACAACTAACAAGCTGGACAAATGTGTATTAAACCACGGTTTTACAGACAGCAGAGCAATGAAAACAATCAAACGATGAAAACAGTGAGCCTACAGTGACAGAAAACAGACCAAATGAGCCCCACAACTGCCCCAGGCTAATGCCCTCAGAGTGGGCAGTTCACAGCACAAGAAAGCAGAGGTCAAGCAAAGCCAGGCAGTTGATCTACATTAAGGAATAGATGTGGGAGTCCATGAAGGCCAAATAGTCTTACGTTTACAAGGTAGAGTAATAGAAGAGCGTACCAGAGAGAGAGCTACATACAGAGAGAGAACTCTGGAGATCTGTAGAAGGTTCCCCTCAACTCTGCATGCAGGGAAGAGAACCACCTGAAGCCAGGAAAAGAACATATCAGCAGAGACTGAAATTCTTACTCCCTGAAGCATCTAAGCACACACTCTGATCAATATTTGGCTGGACATTAAGTTACATAACCACAGGGGCAACACCTTGAGAGCCAGACTTAAAATCAAGGACAAAAAAAAAAAAAAAACGGAGCAGACCCAATAGCCACACATTGCAAGAGAGACAGACTGTACTGATTTGGTCCAGTCTAGTTTTCAGTGAGCCAACAAACAAACAAAAACAACTTTGGGGTGGGGAGGTGAGGCTAGAATCCAGAATTACCACAATGTATCAAAACACATCCAGTATTCAATAAAAAAATCATGGGATGTGTGTACATGAAAATATCACTCATACTAAGGGAAAAAAGCCCAATCAAAACTGCCATTCTGAATGAATCACGGAACACTACATCAAAAACTAATGATGTGTTGTATGGTGACTAACATAATAAAATAAGATTAAAAAAACAAAAAAAATTTAAAAATTTTTAAGAAAATAAATTTAAAAAAACAAACAAAAAAACCCTGACGTTCTGTGTTCCCAGATGTTGTAGTTAATAAACAAGGACTTCAAAGCAGTGGTTGTGAAGATGTTCTAAGAACGAATACAATCACATTTAAAGAATTAAAGAAAAGTCTGATGATAATGACTTAACATATAGAGAACCTCAGTGAAGAGAAGTAATTGTTAAAAATGGATTGGATGTTCTAGAGCCGAAAATCACAACTGACACGAGAAATTCACTAGAAGAGCTTAATAGCAAATATGAGATGACAGAAGAAAAGATAAGTGAACTAGAATTTATCAATATAAATTATTTGATATGAAGAACGGACAGGAAAAAACTGAAGAAAAATTGCTAGAACCTCAGAAACAAGTGGGACATCAAGTACACACCATCATTCATTCACAAACCAGAAGAGAGAAACAAACAAATGAAAAATCTTTTGGCAGAAATAAAGGATGAAAACTTTCCAAACTTGATAAACATTACCTTGCCAACCCAAGGAACTCAACAAATCCCAAATAGGATAATCCCAGAGTGCTTCGCATTGAGAACATTGAGATACACTGTTAGCAAACTGGTGGCAGATGGAGACAAATAGAAAATCTTGAAAGCAGTACGAGAAAAATGATGCATTACTTACAGAGTAACTCCAATAGATTAGCAATTGACTTCTCATTAGAGAGTGAAGAAAGTGTTGACAGGATAACACACTTCTCAACCAAGAACGTAGCAAAACTATTCTTCAAAGATAAAGGAAAAATAAAGCCATTGTGCTAAATAGAGCCTGAGGGAATTTGTTGTTAGCAGAGCTGTCCTACCAAAAATACTAAGGAAGTTCTTCATGCTGAAAGGAAATGAGGGTACGTGGTAATAATAGTTCAGATTCCTAAGAAACAATAAAGAGCACCGGAATGGTAAATATGTAGGCTTGGTTTAAAATATTCTATGAATATACTTTTCCATATCTTCTCTTAATCTCTTTAGAAGGTATGAGATTGGATAAGACAATTAGCTATAACAATGTATTATTGCATTTATATATAGATGCGATATATGTGACGATATCACAAAGGATGGGAAAGGAAAAACAGATCTATTATAGCAATCTTTTTATATCTTTTGGAATTATTAGTATTATATCGAAGTAGGGTGCAATTAGTTGAGATGCATATTTTAGCCCTATGACATAGTAAGACATATATATATATATATATATATATATGTAGTCTCTGTCCCCATTTCGTGGTACACAGCTCCTAAAACCCTTGGAATCCCAGAAGTAGTGTGTCTTTTTGTATGTTAATGAGATGACCAGTGGCTGAGGGTTTCTGGGTAACGTGGGGGTGAGGGTTACTTGCCAGGGGAATCAGTCTTGTAATTAGAGGGTTGGAATTATCAAGTCCAACCCCCTGATCTCCAGGGAGGGGAAAGAGACTGAGGGTTGAGTTAATCATCAAAAGCCAATGATTTAATCAACTGTGCCTCTATCATGAAGCCTGAATAAAAGTCCCTAAAGTCTGGGGTTCAGAGAGCTTCTTGATGGGTGAATGCATGGAGATGTTGGGAGGGTGGCCTTCCTGAAGAGGTCATGGAAGCTTGGCCCTCCTTCCCCCATACCACCATCAGGCTGTTCCTGAGTTGTAATCCGTGTATAATAAATTGATAACCTAGTAAGTAAACTGGTTTCCTGAGTTCTGTGAGCCTGTTCCAGCAAGTTATTTAACCCTAGGAGGGGCTCATGGGAATCTCCAATTTGTAGCCAATCAGTCAGAAGCAGAGGTAACAACTTAGATTCACCATTGGTATCTGAAGCGTGTGAGGGGGTGGGAGTGGAGGGGTACAATCTTGTGTGACTGAGCCCTTAACCTGTGAAGTAAATGCCAACCCCAAGGAGATAGTGTCAGAATTGAACTGAATTATAGGACACCAAGTTGATGTCTGCAGAGAACTGGAGAATTGCTTGGTGTGGGGAAAACATCCACACAGCTGCTGTCAGAAGTACTGAAAGGGTGGAGAGGAGAATCAGAATTCTTTTTCCTTTTCAAGTCCCTAAAACAACTACTAGGAAAATAATCAACAATAGATATAGTAAAAAAAAAAAAAAATCAACAGAGGAATAAAAAGTTACACTAAAACATAAAAAGAACCTAAGCTTCTACCTTAAGAAATGAGAAGAGCAAAATAAAATCTAAGCAGTCAGAAGGAAGAATATAAAACACCAGAGCAAAAATCAAAACAAAAAATCAAAATTGAAATAGAAAAACAATAGATAAAATCAAGGAAGCTAAAAGCTAGCTCTCTGAAGACACAAATTATCAAAATCAGGAAGAAAAAAGGGCCATCATTGTTGACGCTATAGAAATTAAAAGGATTGTAAGAACATATTATGAACTTTAGCCAAACAAAATAGGCAACTTACATGAAACAGGCAAATGTCTAGGAGGATGCAATTTTTAGAAAGATACATTCCTCAACACAAACTAAATGCTAAGAGAGATACATAATCAACTCAAGAAAAAAAAAAACAGAAAATCTGAAGAGGCTTATAATAAGAAATTGGAGTGGTAAATAAAAATTTTGCCATAGGGAGAAGCCAAGGTCCGTGGGGTTTTGCTGATAAATCTGACTGAATATTTAAAGAAGAAATAATGCCAGTATTTTCCATGCACTTCCAGAAAATACAAGAGGAAACACTTGCTAACTCATTCTTTGAGACAAGTGTTACCCTAACATGTGAAAAGAAGACTGCAAATATCCCTCATGGACATGAGTATAAAACTTCAGCAAAATATTAACAAACCAAATTCAACAACATATAAAAAAGATTCTAGGGGCGCCTGGGTGGCTCAGTTGGTTAAGCGACTGCCTTCGGCTCAGGTCATGATCCTGGAGTCCTGGGATCGAGTCCCGCATCGGGCTCCCTGCTCGGCAGGGAGTCTGCTTCTCTCTCTGACCTTCCCCCTCTCATGCTCTCTCTCTCTATCTCATTCTCTCTCTCAAATAAATAAATAAATAAATAAAATCTTTTTAAAAAAAAGATTCTACACCATTAAGAAAGGGTATTTATTTAATATCTGAAAATCAACTAATGCGATACACTATCTTAATAGAATAAAAGACAAAATCCTACACGATCGCCTCAGTAGACATGACAGCATTTGAAACAAATCCAACATCCATTCTTCATTTAAAAAAAAAAAACTTGGCATACAAAGGAACTTTCTCAACTTGATTAAAGCCATCTACAAAAATCCTCAAGGAAACATCATACTTAACGACAGAATACTCTTCTCCTCCTGATTAGAAACAAGAGAAGGATGCCCAGTCTTACAACGTGTCTTCAACATTGTATTGGAGATTCCAGCCAGTGCATTAAGGGAAAAAAATTAAAGGCCTCCAGAAAAGAAATCCAAAAAGGAAAAAGTAAGCTTGCTTTTATTCACAGGCGATATGATACTATATGTAGAAATTTCTAAGGAATCCACATCCCCCGCCCCAAATCTACTGGGACTAATAAATGATCTAGCAAAGGTACAGGACACAAGATCAATATAAAATAGTAGTAGTCCAAGTCCTGCTTCATTGCTACGTGCTTTTCCTGTCCTTGATTTAAGAGACTTTTCTGAGCTCTAGCAAATGATTCCATGACCATCCATTTAAGAAGAAAAGAAGAATTTGGATTTTAGAAATTTGATTTTACATCATTACCACCTGAAAAATAAATATTTCCCCATTCCCACATTTGCAGAGGCTCTGCAGAGTTCAGAACAACTGTCAAAATCATCACTGCTAACAGCTGGTGTAGAGCATGATTAGAGGCAGGTGTTGACATTAGACAGATACAGGCTTCTGGAGGATTCCTATATCTCTTTGGGAGCCTTACCACTCTGTATGTAGGTTTTGCGGGCTGCAGAACATCCCCAAAAGTTTTGCCTGTTGGTGCTCTATCCACAACATTAGGAATTAATGGGGCCATCAGTTGTTTGAAAAATGGAGGCTCTGGACCTCTGCTCAGGTTGGCTACTGTATCCTAGAACAGAGAGCATTTGCTTACGGACCACACAATGTAGAGTCAAAGCCCCTTTCCCCAGGCCCCCACCTCCCAGAAATGCCTTCATTAAAGGAAACACACACACACACACACACACACAGAGCCTCTCTCCAAGAGCTAAGAATTTTAACAAAATGTGGGGCAACTTTGCTAAAATATGAGTCTAGACGTCCACAATTTAAACTTTTGTCACTAGAGGAAAGTTTGGGTCACAGACAACACTTTTGCTTCCCCGGACCATGCAGTCCAGGGATCAGAGTGTAGACATGATACAACTTTAGGTTCTGGGACAGACGTTTTTCAACTGTGTGACTTTGGATAGGAGCGCTAACACATGGCAAGCCTTCGTACCATGACAATGTGATTACTATTTTTTAAAAAGTGTCGAGCCTCTCTTACCCAGAGTCAATACCAAGCTTTTTCCCCCCTAGATCCTTCTCTGTGCTAATTAAAAAATATAATATACTTTTTTTTAGTCTATGTGCTGCCGAAGCAAGCACAAAAATATAATATACTTTTAACTTAGAAGTTAAGGTCAGCGTATGCCCTGACTGATTTAATCTATGTTTTCCACAATATCTGTCACCTTTAATAGTGTCATCACAGTGCTAATCTCGAATTTTAAGTGGTCCTTCATAATGGACACTGATCCTCACTTTAATAATGTAATCTTTTTCAAAGGCCGTAACACCTATTTGCTGGTGTTCCCCTTTCACAAATGGGAACATAAGCTGGGAGATACTCAGTGTTTTTTTCCGAGATCACATAGCTAATCTTAGCTACAGAACCATAACCCTGGCTGTGACACAAATTTCTACAAAATGAATCACACTTTCTCCCTACGTATCACGATAAAGCTTGAAGACTATTTGCCTGGGAGGAACCGTAGATGTACAGTCATAATGTAAGTGAAAACAATGGCCATCTCTTGGGATGGGCTATAGGTTTATAATTTTCTGTATAATCTGAATATTCTATAACTAGTTACAGCTTTTATGATGAAAATTAAAGCAGTTCTACTTTGGGAAAGGAAAAAAGGATCAGACCTAAAAGTGAGAGGAATGCAATGATAAAAACAATCATCGAGCAATTTAAATACATCCTCAGTAGATACCCTGTAGTGAAACTTCATATGGTCAGCAGTTAGGCGGAGTCATATGGAATTGCCAATATTCAACTGTTTTGACCCACAGAAGCAGCTGTATCGTTTGCTTCCACTCGATATAACCAAGCTCTTTCTCTGAAAGGGCTTTGTTGTCTGTGCTAGGTGGTAATTGTGTCCCAGCCTTTATTGGGGCTTATATGGTATTATATAAAGATCTGCTGATGATTTTAAGTCTTTTATCCTGCTTATTGGCTCATCTGCTGAGGCCAGAGTCAGCTTCATTAATATCTGCACCCCCAAAGAAAGAGGCCACAAGTAGAGTTCTTCTAAGTCAACTTTTTGAGGTGCATGTATTCTAGATTGATGCAAGGTGTACACGTTCCAAAGTTGTACTTCATCACATCTAAACCTCTAGTGATTATAGCAACTGCTATTATTTTTGAGCCACCAAGAAAGTAAAAACATGCTACTAATTATAATCATAAAATTCCTCTGATTGGAAGATGCATCCCCATTTCAGAGATGCTACAATATGGGAAATGGGCATCTCAGAAGGAATGACCCGCTCAACTCATGAAGTGATTGGAGAGACTTAGAGTAAGCCTGAGGACTTACTTCTCTGAACCGCTTTGTTCATCTGAAAAATGGGGAAAAAATGATACCTCCATACTTTCACATGATGATCATGAGGCTAATATGAGATCATATATGTGAACTAACTTGTCACCACCAAGAGATGTTAATTGCATCTGAATTTACTAATGGTTTTATTTCTTAGAGATATTTCATAAGATACAAACTTTTTAAATATAAAGGTTTTGAAAGAAATTGGACATTTAAAGCTAACGTTTTCTTTTGCTTCTCTCTGCATCTCCCCACCCCTGAGACACACATGCCTACGAGTTTCGATTACCGTAGCAATGGCCTTCGCAAGACCTCTGAAGAGCTGGATGTAAGCAGACAGAGTGTGTGGTCCATAAATTGTAGATGCCGCCTCGTACCGCTGAGCCTGCAGGAGGGACAGGGCTGGGTTTTATACCATTCTATAGATCTCCATCCATGTACAGAGGTGCCACATCTTAGGGAGGGGTGTGATGTTGAACACCTCACATAATTCAAAATTAATCATAACAAAGGACAGTGGGCATTTTCATTTACCAGCTAAAGTAAATGGATCCCATTAACTCCTTGCTAAAGGCAGTGGGTTCTCTTGGTTTACGCCATTTGGACTGTCAGTCCATCTAATCTGAGAGAGGGGAATAACTCCTAAGCTTAAGTCTATCTTAAGTACTTGTGATAGAAACATTGGCCCTCAAGAAACAGCAAGAGAAGAAAAAATGAGGGAAAATGAGAGTCTCAGTAACTCCTGGAGAAATTGAGGGGGGATGGGTGATGGTACTGTCTGGAGAAGGACATTTAACCATCACATGCTATAAAATAGAACGAGATACATCTCCTTTAGCTGAACTGCAAGCTTCCTGTTGTTCCACAAGAATCTCAGACTCATCAAATCTAAAGTGGAACTCGTCACTCCAGAGACCCGCTCTCCCTGCAACGTTCTTCATCCCAGGGAATGCCACCCTTCCGCCATCTTAGACTCCTCCCTCTCCCTCATCCTACATCCTGGAAGTCTCCAAGCTACCATTACTTGGAATCTCTTGAATTCTTTCATTTTCCTCTGTCTTTCCTGATCTTACTGTGGCCAAACCCTTGGCTCTCACCCAGATCATAACTACAACTTCCTAATCAGTTCTCTGCCCCCACACCTGCTCTTCCAATTTATTTTTCTACACTGTCATCCTAGAGACCTTCCTAAATCAAAATTTGATCAGAACACTCCTTCTTTGGAATTCTACTGCCATTTTCCAAAACATTCCTTATTGAGGTAAAGCTCTGTGGCATAGCATAAAAGATGCTCCATCAACTACAACCTTATCAACTAGCCCCTGTCTCACTACCCTCAACTAATTATGGCCCCTCAAACGTACTAACTCAGCACCCCCAGACCTTTGCATGGTAGCTTCCTCAATATGGGATACTTCCCTAACTCTTTCCCCAACTAGCCCTAGTCATTCTCAAGAACTCAGACAGAGGTTACATCTTTCAGAAAATCTGCCAGTCTCCATTCTCAAATACCCAATACAGACTAGTGCACTTTCTCTTTGTTTTCCTATTACCTTATGAATCCCTTTTACAGCAATGTGATTACCTGCTCTTCTCTAGATCATAAACCCTAGTAGTCTTGAGGGTAGAGGCAGATTTTTACTTATTGTTATGCCCAGATAGTGGCTAGTACAGTATCTGTCTCAACACATGTCTGTTGAATGAATTAGTAAATAAATTAATTAGTATTAATCCTTGCAGAAGCATGTCCCTGAGAGAAGCTGTAGGGGTTCCTAACCTTATTTGTGCCCTGGACTCCTATTGCAGCCTGCTGAGGTCTATGGACCCCTCTCAGAGTAAATGTTTCTAAACGTATAAATACATTGTTGACAAAGAAAACCAATTAGACTGAAATATATCTAATCAAACAAAAATAAACCATTTTTGTGATAGCATAATGTTTGTTCTTCTTTATTGAACAACGAGTAATGTTTGTGTTCTTTACTGAATAACAAGTAAGCAGATCTAATAACTACTGTGATTTTAAAAGACTGATGAGAGTGAAGTTATTTCCAAATCTGCAATAACTCTTCTTTTTATTATGTTATGTTAGTCACCATACATTACATCATTAGTTTTTGATGCAGTGTTCCATGATTCATTGTTTGCGTATAACACCCAGTGCTCCATGCAGAACGTGCCCTCCTTAATACCCATCACCAGGCTAACCCATTCCCCCGCCCCCTCCCCTCTAGAACCCTCAGTTTGTTTCTCAGAGTCCATAGTTTCTCATGGTTCTTCTCTCCCTCCGATTCCCCCCCTTCATTCTAAATCTGCAATAACTCTTTGTGATATAAAAAGTATCTGTGGTTCCTATTGGTGACAAAGTCAGAGGTACTGCTAATATTATTGTTGTTTGTTACCTACATTCCTAATTGAAGGAAATTCTACAAAACAGTTACAGAGAAATGAAAACATGGATAAATGAAAAGTATTCCCATCCAAGTTTGCCCCAATTAAGAATCATTATTCGACAGAATTCCCTAGAAGACAGGGACTTTCAGGAAAGTCAACAGAGGACAGCAGGGCAGATCCCACTGTTGGCATCACTGGACATTTGTCAAAAAGTAGATTGTATGCCTCTGTGTGGACTGCCAAGATATGCCAGCAGATATATCAGCAAACATGAACTGTGGGTATCCAGACTGTTCCCGTGTTTTAAACTACTACTGTTAAAAAGTACTTGAGCTACTGTCTGCACTCTTTGCAAACAAAGAAACATTACCTCCCCTAAATTATCGGAGACTTTGTTTCTTAATTTATGTCATGGATATAATAAAACCCTACTCCAGGGCTTGTTATGAAGATGACTGAAGATAACATTTGCAAAGTGCTGAGCTAGTACATTCAATAAATAGTAGCTATGGGGCGCCTGGGTGGCTCAGTCGGCTGGGCGTCTGCCTTCAGCTCAGGTCATGATCCCGGGGTCCTCGGATCAAGTCCCGCATCGGGCTCCCTGCTCTTCAGGGAATCTGTTTCTCCCTCTGCCTCTCTCTCTCTCATGAATAAATAATTTTAAAAAAATCTTCAATAAATAAATAAATAGTAGCTATCAGTGGGAGTTTTCCCCGGGGTTTACAGAAGCTTCAGGTGCCAGAAGCACCATGGACAGAGTTAGGAAGATTGTATGCCCCTGCCCAGGCTTATGACCAGTACTCTTGACAAAATAATTTATTTCAGAAAAAGTAGTCATCAGTGAGACCAGAATTCTGACTTAAACTTGGAAAGGGCAAACCTAGAACTCCCACATACAACCTCTGGCTTATTCTCATTCTCTCCTCTGTCCCAAAACAAAATCATCTCTCAAAACCACCAGTAAGGAAGTCTAGAAAGAAAACTTGCATTTGACACAACAGTCTTGATGAGGGGATAGTTCATTTAAAGGCCGAGAACTTTTTACTTTACCTGGTATTCTTCAAAGGTGGTAATGTAATGTGTATACACATTGCACAGACCCGAAATAACAATGGTCATATTCTGCATCCCATTGGTTGCAAATTCCTAGTGGGGGAAAGGTAGAGCCCAATAAAATTACTCTCCATCATAATGTATATTATTGACCCAGTTATACTTAACACACAATCATAGATGTGAGTCAGTAGTAGAGGGTGTCTCTCCTAACATCATTTGTAACGATCAAAACTGCCTGGGAATGCAGAAGCACGATGTTCATAGTCCTTGAGGAAAAGTTAGAGCCATAACTACACTACAGTTGGGCAAGTCAATGGATCTGTGAACATTTTAGTGATTACATTTGCAGATATAGAATCTTCTTATAACTAAAATACAGATATTTTATCCATTTCCTAAAAAGTATAATAGGAGGATTCTAACTAACCATAGTGGTTATTTCCAACTCCAAGTAATAAGACCTCTGTTGACCATGTCATTCTAGAACCATTTGCAATGCTTCCTGAATATAAATAAATACAGATAAAATACAAAACTCCTAACATGTGTTAGATTTTATTTAGACAGGACTTCATTAAGGTACTTAGGGTTATTTGTTATTTAACCCATAAAAACATTATCAATTTTTAAATCATTAATATATAAATAGCAATACATTATTTAAACCTGATTCTAGGTTCCTTATAATTTTTAAGCTTGTTCTTATACCACTAATATTTAGTGGTATAATAAAGCTCTAGACATTACTTTCAAGAACTGTAAAACTCTAGTCATCTCAACAAAGATTAATTTAAAAGGTATCAGATCATAGGAATAGGGAATTCTTTTCACCAAATAAAAATGCATAAACATTTTATTTCATTTTTAACTTACTGTTTGAACTGCGTCTCGAAGTCTTCGTCCAGACATGGTCCTGAGTCAAGAAAACAGAAGTATCTAAGGGTTTTCCTACTCCAAATATATGCAAAGAATACAGAAGAACTTGTAGCAAGAGACAAATGTGATCCTGGCTCATAACACAACATGGTAAGGTTCATAGGAGCTTTGTGGCAATGTAAAGCCAAACTTGAGCTTTTTGTCCCTAACTGTCCTATCTTGAAAAAAAATCCTAAACTGAAAACAACTTGTAGGAGGGGAAAAGGCATCAATGAATATCACTGGCTAAGACTACAATCATTTTCCATTCATTGATTCAGCAAAAATATACTGTTTGTATTCTATGTCAGTAAGAACTGAGGCAAGTAGAGAGTGCACTGCTCCTACCCAGAAAGAATTTATCATTTTGTTCCTTCATCGAATCCTTCAATAAAACACAGCACCTACTACAGAAGAGGCCCACTTCTAAATGCTAAGGATTCAACAGGATGCTTACATTCCAGAGAGGGAAGATGTCAACAAGCAAATAAAAGAAGTGAGATGACAGTAGGTGCTATGGGGAATATAACGCAGGGTAAGGATGACAGGTGATGGTGGTTGTTCTTGTGATGATGAGGCCAGTGCTGATGCTGTGGGAATATGGTGGCAGCGGCGGCGGTGGTGGTGGTGAGGGCAGCGTCATATAGCATCAGCACAATGGGGCATCTCTGTGAGAGATCATCTCACAGACGATCAGAGCAGAGAACTGAAGGAATAAAAGAGTCAGCTGTGGGGATAAAAGGAGGGTAAGTGTTTTAGGCAGAAGAAACCTTAAGTTCATAAGCTTTAAGACAGGAGCAGGCTTGCTGGTCTGAGAAATGCAATGAAGCCAAGGTGGCTGAAGCAGGGATGAGTCAGGGGAGAGGGGTATCAAATCAGAACAGAGAGATTGCAGAGGGAAAAAATCTCACAGGGCCCTTGTAGGATGTTGTAAGGGTTTAAGAATTTACCTGGAGTGAGATGAGAAGCCATTGGAGGGATTTGGACCCTGACTTAATTTAACTTAGCTTTTAAAGGGATTCCTCTGGCTGCAGTGTTGAGAACAGACTACAGAAGAGTAAGGGAGAAAGCAAGCAAGTGAGACAGGAGGTTATGGCAGTAATCTAGGGGAGAGCTCATGGTGGCTTAGACCAGGGAGGGAGTGATAGAAAGTGCTGGGTGGAATGTGCAGAATTTGCTGCAAATTCACTTTCAGTGGAGGAAATTGAAAAGAGAGAATTCAGGGATGACTCCAAGGTTTAGGGCCTGAACAACTGGAAAGATATAAAATTGCTACTTTGTAAGATAGGGAAGACTGCATAAAGAGCAGATTTCAAACAATCTTTCCTGCTTCTAAGACTTCAACTGTTTCAAGGATCTGAATTTTGATAATATTTCAACTCTTTCTACTGACATAATAATGCACAACATCATTTACATTTGGAATAAGTTCTTCAAATGTTTATGTTTGCTACAATTTACCCACTAGCAATACACATCAAAAGATTTACTCTTCAGAAGCCCACCAAAAGATGGTTGGAATATTTGTTAGTGTTGCCAAAATGGCAGAGTGAGATACAAAGAAGTCAGTTCAGAATCACCACCCATGAGAAGAAGTTATTCCAACAGAAACACATACACAATGATTACATTTTTAACTACAAAATAACAAAGAAGAACTTACGTCAACTCCCCAGGGATGGCAGTTATGGCCAAGGACCCAATCGTGATAATCTGAACATCAACAATATCTGGGTGCCAGGGATGAGGTTTTGTCAACTAAGAACCCAAAACATGAAACCTGTGTTAGGGATATTGTTCTTTCTATGGCCAAGAGACAGATGATGCTCAGAAAAGTTCCTTTATTAAAGGATTTACAATGTTTCCAGCTGGGTTTGGTGCTTTATCCTACTATCACAGATTTTCTTTCTAATGAATGAGGTAGTATAAAATATTCTATCTGGTCATAGCACAAGGATCTCAGATGCCAATGCCCCATTAACCTGCACTTCCTTTCTCATCAGTGAAATTTTTGGTGGATCTGGCATCCTAGAATCACAATGTGTAACAGGTAACCAAGGGTTCTCTTGGAGCACTTAGCAAGATAGATAAGTAATTCTACATTTGGAACAGCTTAACTTAATGATTTCTCTTTTTACTCTCATAGCACTTTAAATTTGCAGTTACCAAGTCTTGCCTTACTTTCCAAGTTTTCTCCAAGACAATCTACCCTTTCCCATAGTCAGATTCTCTCTGTTCCTTCCTTTCCTCTCTTTCTTCTTCCTGAAGAATTTTAATTGAATATTAGGGGGAAAAACTCTATTCAAAAATGTTTTCTACATCAATAATTTATATTATGAACACTGGCACAAACTTTTGACATTTAGAATGTGAAAATCCATGGTCCAAAGGAGTATTAAAAGAATATTGCTTTAGTTAATCGTGTTGTCTGAGTCGTGAGAAAATTGAGACATGAACATGTCCCTTTTTACATGACCCGAGGATGCTTTTTTGTGCAGAGTTGTATGTGAACTCCTGTCCTGGAGTCAACATAAATGAATCCTGAATAAGATAGATGTTGATCGAATTCTTCCTTTTCTACTGTTTTCATTGTTGCAGTTATTTATCATAAATTCTAAGTCACAATATTTAATAACCATACCCCTTATTCCTTAGAGTTAGATTCTTAACATACATATTTTTAATATTAAAAATTTGATGTGGGAATATTTGAATAAGAAATTCCCATGTCAACAAAGATCTATCATTTGTCTCTGACAATTCTTAAGTTTTAAAATAACGATATACTAATTTTACCATGATAGTCAAAATGCATTACCTCTCCAGTATGAAGAAGGATTGGCTTTGGTTTATGACACTCTTTGATTTCTGCAGATGGCTTGCCCAGGATTTGATCCCGAAGACTGTCCCAAAATGGATCCCCTACTGTTGTCCCTATTTAGGAACGTTAGGATTAATTTGATTCCAACCCTCTGAAAAATGCCATCACTTTGACAAATGTACAACAATGCCTTTATTGCAAAGATTTTATTAAGATTGTTGCCCAATAATTCCAAACAGTCTGAATAATAGAAGAGGTAAAATTTCCTTTGCATCCTAAAATAGGAATCATTATTTAGTTAGATCCCCATTGTGGCTGATAGACTAAAAGAATATATCTTGTTCAACATCTTTAAAGTTTTGTTTCTATTGCTCTTCCTCATCCACGTTGCAAATAAAAATAATACAATATACTTAACTATAGATCTATGAATGAAATCACTTTTTTCCCCATTTTAAAAACTAAAAATGAGAACTCCAACTTGAAGTACTGATTATTTGGCTTGGGGTCCACAGAAAAAGCCTCTCTTAACTCCCCACTTAATTATCTACACAAAATCACACCTAAATACCACAATCTGGGGAAAAGTTATGTTAACTCTGAAACCTATGAACTTAGAATCTATAATCCATTAGGGAAATATAACAATTATAAACATATATGGACCTAACAACAGAGCACCAAACTACATGAACCAAAACAGAAAGAGATACTCAATAGTAACAGTTGGAGCATGAATAACCCACTTGCACTAACAGATGGGACAACTAGTCAGAAGATGAACAAGAGAAAACGTGAGCAACACAAGAAGCCAAGTGGATGTAACAAGTACCTGCACACACCTCCCTCAATGCAACAAGAACATAACGACACTCTTCTCTGCTGGCCATGAAATAAACCCCAATAAACGTTAAAGGGTATAAATGATATAAAGTATGTTTTCCAGCCACAAAGTAATGAAATTAGGAATAAATAACAGAAGAAAATTTGGGAAACTCACAAATATGTGGAAATTAAGCAACACGATCATAAATAGATAGTGGTCAAGGAAGAAATTAAAAGGAAATATGAAAATGCTTTCAGATAAATGCAAATGAAGACACTGTATACCAAAACTTATGGGATGCAGTGAAAGAAGCGCTTAGAGAGAAATTTATAGCTTTAATGTGCATATTAAGAAAAAAAGAGGATGGTGACATAGCAAGAAGGAAAAGTAGAAAATATCAGCCTTTGTCACCCCACAGAAAACCACAATTAGTTACTCGCAAATGAAAATACTCCCAGGAGGGCTCAAGAGTCCAATTAAGAACCTATGGAGCGAAATACGGAATAATCACACAGAAAGGATCACTGGAAGGATTAACTTAGCTGAAACAGAGAGGAACAAAAAAAAGTGCAGACTCTCAGTATCAGCCATATGGCAGGTGCCATCACAGTGCCCAGCTGTCTGCTCCATGGAGGGCCCCAGTGGCCCCTGCCACTCAAGAGCCCCCATGACAGACTTCCTGTGGTTTTCACAGCAGAAGACCCTGTAGTCTTCACTGGCACAGACGCCAGCAGCCTGCTCCACAGAGGACACCAGCAGTTTTCATGAATGAGGTCACCAATGGCCATCACCACCATGGACTGCCCCCCCCCCCCCGCCAGGGATGAGATGTTGCTGCTCCTCATCCATAAGAAGATGCTACTGTATCACCCTGGGACCAGGTTTGTCAGCCTCCACCCCCAAGTGTGCCCCTGACCCCAGAGCTCCATCTGCTCCATCCACACCCATGTTTCAGAACTCAACGTCATGGCAGCACCACGTGTGCCTATGCTCCAGACCCTGGATCTGCAGCTGCTCGGCATGTACTCAAATCTCAGGCACTGGAGCCACCACCACTGCTGGCTATCCTGGACCCCAGAGCCACTGTCCTCAGCAAGCACATGTGCTCCAATCCCAGCTCCATGGTTGTTCCACATGCACGCACAACTCAGGCACAGAGTCACTACTACAACTGGAGAGCCAGTGCCCTGGACCCTGGAGCTGCCCCCGCTCTATGAGCACCTCTGCTCCAGATCTCAGATCTGTCACTGACCCATGGGCATTCGTGCATCAGCCATCGGTGCCACCACTACTGTGAGGCCCCGGTAAGCCAAACCTAGCCCCAAGAGAGAGCTTCTGGGCCATGACATCCCCCAGTGGGGAAAGAGATCAGGAGGATTTCAGCAGCAGCCTGGAGATGCCAAGAGCACCGACGGCAGCTGCAGACACCCACAGCCTTGGCATTTGAGGATCCATGCAGTCTTCACCAGTGCTGACCTAAGCTGACAGAGCTCCATGGAGACTATGCCACTTGGCCTGCCCTGGGTCTGGAACTGCCACAGCTCACCCACCCAATGTCCCTGCACACACCCATGGGTAAAGGTCTCCCCCTACGACAACCAGTCTGCAAAGTCTAAAAGAGGTGACTGCTCTATCAAATACACAGACAAAATTCAAGTCTCTAAGAAACAACAAAAATCAAGGAAGCATGACACCACCAATGGAACATAATAATTATCCAACAATGGATCCCAAAGAAATGGAGATCTATGACTTGTCATACAAATAATTCAAAATAATTTTTTAAAGATTTTATTTCTTTATTTGAGAGAGAGTCTGCACATGTGCAGGGGGAGGGGGCAGAGGCAGAGGGAGAGGCAGACTCCCCACCGAGCAGGGAACCTGACACGGGGCTTGTTCCCAGGACCCTGAGATCATGACCCGAGCCAAAGGCAGATGCTTAACTGACTGAGCCACCAAGGCGCTCCTCGAAATAATTTTTTTAAGAAAGCTCAACAACTACAAGAGAACACAGTTACACAACAAACTCAGGAAAATAACATATTAACAAAATGAGAAGTTCAACAGAAAGACAAAATCATTAAAAAAAAATAGAAATTCTGGAGCTGAAGAATACAGTGAATGAAATGACAACGCAGTAGAGTGTACCAACCGTTGATCTGATCAAGCAGAAGAAATAATCTGTCAATTTAAAGACAAGTCATTTGAAATTATCCAATCAGAGGAGGAAAATAAAAATAAAAAACAGTGAAGAAAGCCTACATGAATTATGGAACAGAAAATGCTGAAGGGAGTTCTTCAAACTAAAATACAAGGATACTATTAGTACATAAAAGATATGAAAGTATAAAACTCACTGGTAAAGGTAAGTAGATAATTAAATTAAGAATAGTCTAATATTATAATGGCAGTATATAAATCACTGAACTCAAGTATGAAGGTTAAAAGACAAAAGTATTAAAAATAACTAAAGCTACAATAATCTGTTAATGGATACAGAATATAAAAAGATACAAATTATGACATCAAAAACATAAGATATGGGAAGAGGAGATAAAAGGGTAGTTTTTGTATGCAATTAAAGTTAAATTATCAGCTTAAAATAGACTGTTATAACTATAGAATGTTTTATATAAACCTCCATGGTAACCAAAAAGCAAATACCTATAGTACATATGCAAAACATAAAGGAATCAAAGCATACTACCACTGAAAATCATCAAATCATAAAGGAAGACAGAAAGAGAAGAAGAAAGGAACAAGGGAACTACAAAACAACCAGAAAACAATAAGATGGCATAGTAAGTACTAACTTTTAAATAATTACTTTAAAAGGAAATGGCTTAAATTCTCCATACAAAAGGTATAGAGTGATTGAATGGGGGGAAAAAATGACCCAACCATATACAGCCTACAAGAGTTCACTTCAGCTTTAAGAATACACATAGGCTTAAAGTGAAGGGTTGGATAAATATATTCCATACAAATGGAAACCAAAAGTGAGCAGAAGAATACTTACATCTGACAAAACAGACTTTAAATAAAAAACTGTAACAAGAGACAAAGAAGGTCATTATATAATGATAAAGAGGTCAATTCATCAAGATGAGATGACAATTGTAAATATTTATGCACTCAATATTGGAGCACCTGAATATATATATACAACAAAGATTAACAGATATGAAGGGAGAAACAGACAATACAATAATAGTAGGGAATTTTTACCCCACTTTCAACAATAGACAGATCATCCTGACAGAAAATCAACAATGAAATGTTGGACTTGAACCACACCTTAGACCAGAACATCTCATCCAACAGCAGCAGAATACATATTCTTCTCGAGTGCACACAACACTCTCCAGGGGAGGTCATATGTTAGGTAATAAAACAAGCCTCAGCAAACTTAGAAGACTGAAATCATACCAGCTATTTTTTCTGAGGACACTAGAAATCAATAATAGGAGGACAACTAGAAAATTCACCAATATGTGGAGGTTAAACAACACACTACTGAACAACTAATGGGTCAAAGAAGAAATCAAAATGGAAATAACAAATATCCCAAACCAAATAAAATTAGAAACACAGCATATCTAAATTTATGGGTCCAGCAAAAGAAGTTCTGAGAGGACAATTTATAATGATAAACCCTTACATTAAGAAAAACAGAGGGGCACCTGGGCAGCACAGTCAGGTAAGTATCTAACTCTTGGTTTTGGCTCAAGTTGTGATCTCAGGCTTGTGAGGTCGAGCCCCACGTCAGGCTCCAGGCTCAGTGAGGAGTCTGCTTGAGATTCTTTCTCTCCCTCTCCTGCTCCTCCCCCATGCTTGCACTCCCTCTCTCTAAAATAAATAAATACATCTTTTTAATAAAAGAAAAGAAAAAAGAAAGATAACAAATAAACAACCTAACTTTACACCTCAAGGAACTAGAAAAAGAAAAACAAACAAAACCCAAAGTTAACAAAAGGAAGGAAATAACAAAGATCAGAGCAGAAATAAATAAAACAGAGACCAGAAAAACAACAGGAAAGACTAATAAAACTAAGAGCTGGTTTTTTAAAAAGATAAATAAAATTGACAAACCTTTAGTTAGACTAAGGAAAAAAGAGAGAAGACTCAAAGAAAAGCAGAAGTGAAAGACAAGACACCACATCTGCTACCACAGAAATACAAAGGATCATAAGAGACGACCATGAGCAATTTTACACCACCAAATTGGAAAACCTAGAAGAAATGTATAAATTCTTAGAAATATACAAACGACCACCATACAAACCACTAAATCATGAAAAAATAGAAAATTTGAGCAGGCAAATGAATAAGGAGATTGAACCACTAATCAAAAGCCTCCAAACAAAGAAAAGCCCAGGACCAGATGGTTTTACTAGTGAATTCAATAAAACATTTAAAGAAAAACTAGTGCCAATCCTTCTCAAACTCCTTCCAAAAATTGAATAGGAGGGACTACTCCACAACTCATTTTGCAAGGCCAGCATTACCCTGATACCAAAACCAGATAAGGACATTATAAAAAAAGAAAATTTTAGGGTGATAACCCTGAGGAATATAGAAGCAAAAATCCCAAACAAAATACTAGCAAACTGAATTTAACAACAGATTAAGAGGATCACACACCATGGTCAAGTGAGATTTATTTCTGGGTAGTTCAAAATATGCAAATAAATAAATATGACACACCCTATTAATAGAGTGAAAGATAAAAAATCATCTGATCAACTCTGTAGATGCAGAAAAAGCACTTGACAAAACTGAACATCCTTTCATGCTAAAAACTGGACATATTGGGTGCAGAAGGAATGTACATCATATAAGAAAGGTCATATATGACAAACCCACACTTAACAGTGAGAGGTTGAAAGTTTTCCCAATCAGATTAGGAGCAAGATAAGAATGCCCGCTCTCACCACTCCTATTTCAATGTAGTATACAACTTCTCTTCCGCTTAGAATTTAAAAACCAACATTCTCTGTTCAGCCGTTAATGTTGAGATCCATATTTAGTTTTACAAGCTTTTCCCTGTTTTTAGTTTTGCTTTGGGTTTTTGGCTCAGGAATTTTATTTGTTTGTCAATAAGAAATGTAAGAGTAGGTATTAATAAATTCCAGTTCTATAATGTCAAGAATTTAAAAATTTAAGAATGGATTGGTTAAAAATGCTTCATATTTGAAAAACCTGGACTCAAATATCTTAAACTCTTTCTGCTTTCTCCCCCTTCTCCTTTTAGTATAAGGTGTTTGTGGGGTGAAGGGTGTGCCTGTCTCAAGCCCTTTCCACCATATTAGTAAGATTCTACTCCCTGCAAAGGAACACAGCAGGTTGGGCCTGTTTGGGCATGTTTGCAGAGACTGGGGGGCCTTCCCAGAAAGTAACATCTCACCAGCCATGTTCTAGGGAGAGAGGCCTCTGCCCATTTCTCTGGTAGAAAATGTAACAGTTTCTCTCGGAAGAAAACTGTATCCCTATTCAGTAGGACTTCTGATGAATGGTAGTGTGTCTTCATGTCTAACCCGTCAGCAACCCCTAACCCCAATTTCAAAAAAGTCATAGCCAGAGCAATTAGGCAAGAAAATGAAATAAAAGGCATTGAAATTGGAAAGGAACAGTAAAATTATCAGATGGAGAAAGACAAATACTGGAGGTTCTCACTTCTATGTGGAATCTATAAAAGCCAAAATCATAGACATGAGAGTAACATGATTGTTGTCAGGGGCTAAGGTGCAGGAAAGATGGGATTTGTACCCGGGTCAAAGGGTTTAGCCACAGAATGGAACAAGGTACTGATAAATGGTACAACACAGATGAACCTCGAAAACATGATGCTAAGTGAAACACCAACCCCAAATGCCACATATTTGATGATTCCATTTACAGGAAACGTCCAGAATAGGAAAATACAGAGACAGAAAGATCAGGGGTTGCTTAGGTCTGGGGGGAGATGAGGGATGGGGGTTGTGATAGCTAAGGAGTATAGGGTTGCTTTTTGACGTGTTGAAAATGCTCTAAAATTGACTGTGGGGATGGTTACCTATATTGGCAAACACTAAAAACCACTGAATTGTACACTTTAAATGGATACATCATATGGTATGTGAATTATATCTCAATAAAGCTGTTAAAAATTATTGTTCCAGGAAATTAGACCACCCTGGATGAAATATTACCAGGAAAGATGAGCCGAATGTCTCAAACTGCAACTGTATTCATTAATTTGTCAATGAATGGTTCCAAAATACACATATATAAAAAGCAAGAATGAAAGAAGCCAATATGTTTCCTACAGGTGAGACTCGTCTATTTTTCCACTTTCTCTACTTACAGTGCATGTTATTACAGAGATGATCAGGATGAAGCCTACAATCATCAGTTATAAATTTGTGGAAGAGGACTTCGCAGCCCATGTTTGGGCTCCTGAAGGCCTCTGCCCTGAGGACTTTGGGCTCAGTAAAGGAACCAGAGAAAGAGGCATTCATTAGCAGATGACAGAGCAAACTCCTATTGTTGAAGGTACAATGACAATCCCGCTCTGTACTCCTCCCAACTCCACCCTAGCACGCCAGACCCATTAAAAACCGTCCATCTGTAGACTGAGACTGAAATGCAAAGGGAAGTTGTCTCTGATTCTTTTTGAATCAGTGGAAGCTAAGTTCCAGAAGACACACATCCCTGGGAATTCTGGCTGTCATGGACACACCTGGCAAGCACACCCCCCCAATCTAAAGATAATAGTAAAAAATCATAAATGTACGGAGACCATTTGACCCTTCAGAACCTGGAACCACAGATTTCATCAGACAGAACCTCACCCTGAGTAAAATTGAAGTTCCCAAATCCGTCGATTGTCCCAGCCGCAAAACTGTAGCCCAGTGCTGGTTTACACGTTTTTGCCTAAAGGGGAGAAGAACACAAAGTAAACACAAACAAGAAACAGACGTTAAACTTCAAGTAAGCCATGAGATCAGCCCAGAGCTTCACCCTTGTGGCATCATCAGCGTGACTCAGTGATACTTACCGTGTGTGTGGAGTTGAGCTGGACAGTGACATCTGTCATATTCACCCACTGATGAGCTGCAGCCAGTGGTCCAGTGACCTCCTGGGAGGCAGAGGCATACAGTTCCTAGAAAACACACACACACTTACTGTTAGAAGCAAAACCCAGCAATTGCACTACTGGGTATTTACCCCAAAGATACAAATGTAGGGATCTGAAGGGGTACGTGCACCCTGATGTTTATAGCAGCAATGTCCACAATACCCAAACTATGGAAAGAGCCAAGATGTCCACCGACAAATGAATGGATAAAGAAGATGTGGTATATATATATATACATATATATTCCACATATACATATACATATATATACCACACATATATAACAATATACATATATATATATACACACACACACACACACAATGGAATATTATGCAGCCATCAAAAGGAATGAGATCTTGCCATTTGCAACGACATGGATGGAACTGGAGGATGTTATGCTGAGCGAAATAAGTCAATCAGAGAAAGACATGTATCATATGACCTCACTGATATGAGGAATTCTTAATCTCAGGAAACAAACTGAGGGTTGCTGGAGTGGGGGGTGGGTGGGAGGGATGGGGTGACTGGGTGATAGACACTGGGGAGGGTATGTGCTATGGTGAGCACTGTGAATTGTGCAAGACTGTTGAATCACAGACCTGTACCCCTGAAACAAATAATACATTATATGTTAAAAAAAATAATAATAAAGAAGAAGATAGCAGGAGGGGAAGAATGAAGGAGGGGGAATCAGAGGGGGAGACGAACCATGAGAGACGATGGACTCTGAGAAACAAACTGAGGGTTCTAGAGGGCAGGGGGTGGGGGGATGGGTTAGCCTGGTGATGGGTATTAAAGAGGGCATGTTCTGCATGGAGCACTGGGTGTTATGCACAAAGAATGAATCATGGAACACTACATCTAAAACTAATGATGTAATGTATGGTGATTAACATAACAATAAAAAAATTTTTAAATCCATTAAGGGGGGTCGGGGGATGGGTTAGCCTGGTGATGGGTATTAAAGAGGGCACGTACTGCATGGAGCACTGGGTGTTATACGCAAACAATGAATCATGGAACACTACATCAAAAACTAATGATGTAATGTATGGGGATTAACATAATAAAAGGAAAAAAAAGAAGCAAAAGAGCTAAAATGAAGAGTACCACTGTGCCCAGTAAGTACCAATTTGGAAAAGCATGTGCCCACCAAGTTTTGTTTTGCTGGCTGCTTAGAAAGGGCCACTACCCACATGACACTCTCTGCCATCCCCAGTGGCTTCCAGACGCGGGGAGCCCCTGAGACCTTGACCTGTGTCTGCTCCCCCCACAAACAGGACATTCTGGTGATAGAGGCTGTGGCACAAAAAGCCTCCCTCAAGAAAATTTAAGATGAGGAGGAGGCGGGCCCAATGATTGTTTTTGCCAGAATGAGAGCATAACCTCGGGGGTTCTCCCTCAGAAGTCGCGAGTCCTCTGACAGGGCTGGCGCCAAAGGGTGGCTGGAAAGACTCCCCACTCCCCCACATCCACCTTTTGAGGTTCTTTTTTATCCCCTGTAGGGTGAACTGATGCTTTTTCTATCTCGTGGCAAATGTGAGTCAGCTTGTTTGGAAACATTGGCTTGTATTGATCTGTACCACACATGGTGGGCCAATCCTACCTCAGCGCACGCGCCTTTGCCTGACACCTGATGGTCCCCCCATCCCCGATTTGACAGCCACATGGGGGTTCTCAGGGTGAGCTCTCAGTAACACCAGCTGCCTCCCCGATAAGGAGCGAGTCAAAGAGAATCCAGAATGTGGGACAAATCCCTCTGACTCTCAAGCCCAGAACAGTAACAAAATTTCTGACACCAAACCGTGTCACGGGTGCACACCCTAAATAGAATCTGTTAATCTAGAACCATCCACTGATAATACCACAGTAATTAAAAAGAAACTGCTGCAGGTAGGCTGGCTGGTGTCTAATGTTTTTAAAGGTGCTTTTGTTCTTCCTTAATTGCTCCTGAAACATTTCAGAACCCATGGAGCAAAATATTTACTGAAACACATGCACTGACTCACACACTTGCAACAAAGGTATGAGTTAGCCACACAAAGGAAGAGATCGAACTATGGAAGAGATCTCAGCTTGAGGTCATCCTTGGTCTTTTCAATCAGAAATCTGTCTCCAGAGGAGTGGAAACAAAACACGGGCAAAATGGAAGATACAATTTCGCAGAGGGAGAAGCATAGAGCAACTCATAATCATCTTACTACAGACCCGATTTGCTCCTCCTCAAAAAATGTCTCAAGAAGAGAAGAAAAGAAAATATAAGATGGACAATTGGGATATATTTAAGACTAGGAACTAATCTGAATTCAAATTGCAGGCGTGGGGAGCTGTGTTGCTCAGTCTGGCCTTGTCACTGAAGACGTTAAGAACAGTCAGGCATGGGGCGCCTGGGTGGCTCAGTCAGTTAAGCCGCTGCCTTCGGCTTAGGTCATGATCCCAGGGTCCTGGGATCGAGTCCAGCATCAGGCTCCTTGCTCAGGGGGGAGCCTGCTTCTCCCCCTGCTTGTATTCTCTGACAAATAAATAAATAAAAGCTTTACAAAAAAAAAAAAAAGAACAGTCAGGCAACTGGGCAGCAAAGGCCAAGAGAATCTGGATCAGTCTGATCATGCCTGACGCGATGTTAGCTGAAATCCTTACACTATTTATCACCGCAGTCTGAAGCAAGCACTCAGGCTGAAACAGAATGTTTCCCTGTTTCCTTGGTTTTACAAGGACTTCGTATAGCCATCAGGGAAATTCAAATCAAAACCACATTGAGATACCACCTTACACCAGTTAGAATGGCAAAAATGGACAGGGCAAGACACAACACATGTTGGCGAGGTTGTGGAGAAAGGGGAACCCTCTTACACTGTTGGTGGGAATGCAAGTTGGTACAGCCACTTTAGAAAATAGTGTGGAGGTTCCTCAAAAATTTAAAAATAGAGCTACCCTATGACCCAGCAATTGCACTACTGGGTATTTACCCCAAAGACACAGATGTAGTGAAAAGAAGGGCCATATCCACCCCAATGTTCACAGCAGCAATGTCCGCAATAGCGAAACTGTGGAAAGAGCCAAGATGCCCTTCAACAGATGAATGGATAAAGAAGATGTGGTCCATATACACAATGGAATATTACTCAGCCATCAGAAAGGATGAATACCCATCTTTTACAGCAACATGGTTGGGACTGGAAGAGATTATGCTAAGTGAAATGAGTCAAGGAGAGAAAGTCAATTATCATATGGTTTCACTTATTTGTGGAACATAAGGAATAGCATGGAGGACATTAGGAGAGGAAGGAAAGAATGAAGGGGGGGGGAATTGGAGGGGGAGATGAACCATGAGAGACTATGGCCTCTGAGAAACAAACTGAGGGTTCTAGAGGGGAGGGGGTTGGGGAGATGGGTTAGCCCGGTGATGGGTATTAAAGAGGGCACGTTCTGCATGGACCACTGGGTGTTATACGCAAACAGTGAAACATGGATCACTACATCAAAAACTAATGATGTACTGTATGGTGACAACAACCTAATAAAATTAAATTAAATTTAAAAAAAAAGGTCAGACGAGCAGTCAGAGAGAGGTTCCTGTGTCCTTTGGGAAGCAGCCTTCCTAGCAGGCCAGTGCCAGCAGACTCCAGGGCCAGCGCGAGCCCTTTCTGCCTCTTACCATTACTGACTTCATCATGAACACTGTCGGTGGATTTTAAAGAACAAGATTAAATGAAGTTGAAAGAAGTGGGGCCCGTGGCTGACCTTCGCTCTCTGATATATGATCCGTCCTATAATCTGCGTGCTGTTGAGCATATCCTCTCCTGGTCCCATAGCAATGCACATGCTAGACTGCAACACAGGGAGACAAGACGGACTCTCGGTGAAATAAGCAATGGTTTTAAGGAATGCAAAATTACAAGGGAAGCTAAGCAAACATAGTTTTAAACCCACATTCTAGCATCTCTTGTCAGTCTCTCAATCTACAGATTATGAGAAGCAAAATCATTCATGGCATTGGAGCAGTGAAGATCTTCAGAAATCACATATCACAGTGCCTTATTTTTACAGGTAAGGACACTGAGGCTCAGGTGGGTTGGACGATTTGTCGGAGATTATATAGGTAGCTAATATGTGAGCTAAGACCTAAAGCCAAGTTCCCCATTGGTTGCACATCTTCCTACCTGTCTGTTCTTGCCTATGGCTCATGATTGCCTTCAATTGAAACTCAGTTAAAATTATATTGGAACAACTAGATGATCCTCTGGGAAAGATCAGTACATAAATCTGGCTCTTTACTTCACTTCTTATACGAGGAAATTTTGAGATTGACCAGATACTTAAATATTATAACTGAAAATTAAAAAGTATTAAAAGAAAATATGGATGAATACTTTCTTAATACCTTTTGATTCATCCATACTGAATTGGGTTTTCTCTTATTTGCAGTCAAAAGCATCCTATATGTGTATCAAAATTATCACATTGCACACCTTAAAATTATACAATGTTGTATATCAATTACATCTCAATAGAGCTGGGAGGAAAAAAAGCAAAAAAAAAAAAAAAGATCCTAATGGATATACAATGGAATATGGATGAAATAGGTAATTTACAAAAATGAAGTATAAATGGCCATTCAACATTAAAATATATTCAGTCTCATGAATAATTAAATATAAATTTAAACTACAAAGAACTCTTTGCGTGTTGTGTTGGCAAAGACTGAAAGATTGATAAACTGGGTGTCAGTGAGAGTTTGGGGAAACTTTCACTCATGCTCTGTTAGGGGGAACGGGACTGACAGACACCTCATGGTGGCTATGCTTTCCCTTTGACAGCAAATTCACTTCTAAGAACTTGCCCTGGGGCGCCCTGGTGGCTCATTCGGTTAAACATCTGGCTCTTGGTTTCAGCTCAGGTCTTGACCTCAAGGTCGTGGGATCGAGCCTCACATCAGGCTCCACGCTTAGCGGGGAGTCTGCTTGAGAGTCTCTCTCTCCCTCTGCCCCTTCCAAATAAATAAATAAATCTTAAAAAAAAAGAATTTGTCCTAAGGTGAAACTCATACACGCATGAAAATATGTACAACATAGCGACCAGAGCATATTTATATGATGGAAGGAAAAACAGAAGAGAGAGGATATGAAGGAAGAGAAGAGGGAGGGAAAGAAAGCTCTCATCAGTAGGGGATTGGTGAACTCATTTAGGGTACTTAACATTGAAAACTATGGCATTAGTTTAAGTGTTGTTTTCAAGTATATTCACTGAAAACAAGAAAGCAGGTTCCAGAACAGCATTACGGTAGGACCTCATTTAAATACAACTATACATGCAGACAGGTGGCTGGACACAGACCATTAAATTTTTAACAGGTTCATTGTGGGGTTAGGGGCTGCTCCTTTACATGTTTTGTTTTCTGAACTTTTCAGTATTGTTTGAGTTTTTAACAAGCATATATCTTTTTTTACATCAAAGCTAGTTTCTAAAGTTCAAAAAAATCTGTTTGAAGAAGCAACATTAAAGCAAAAGACATGGCAATATTTGCCCATTTCCCTCTTTTGGTTTCTTAAGTGAATCACGATTTTCTTCAGAAAGGCATCTCTTCTTTAACAGTCAGTGATTCTATTCCCAGTTCCAGGTCAGTCTAAGATGATGACGGCCATCCCCTGGGCATTGCCAAAGACTGGGAAGAAACCCCAGCTTATGCCAATCAGCACATACCATTTCCCCAGGAACTGCTTTGGTCCAGGAATGGGTTTATACCTCCATTGACCCATTTGGGCTGAAAAGAGCTTTTATTCCATGGTTAGAAGAGAAGTTTTCTCTGTCTCCTACCGTATATGGGGTAGGGGTTGGGGGGAGAAGGATACCCCTTCCTCAGTACTGGCTGCCCTCTTGCAAACATGAGGGAAGCCAATCTAACAGATGGAGCGGAACAGAGAGAAACAGAATTCTGTTGTGGGAAAGGGTATGATTTTCTTGTAATTTTTTATGATTACAAAGTATGCTCATGGTAGAAAAAAATGCAAAAGTGTATAAATAGAATAAAAACAATAAATAAGATAAACGGAATAAACACCCCCTATAATAATGCCAAACCGAGAAAACCAGGGTTAACAATTCAGTGTGTTTCCCTTTGTCTTTTTACTATGACACATTTATTTTCAAAACTGCAATCATCATGAATATGCATTATTAAAGCCAATTTTCTTAATCAACATCGTGTACTATGAGCTTTTTCCCACATTAAGTATTCCAACACAACACACTGAGTTGCTGCATAATATTCTATTGCAAATAGGTCTCATAATTTATTTAAGCATTTCATCTCTGAATTTTGGAATTTAACAAGTAATCTTTAAATCTAATGATTAGATCAATTATTGACTTAATTGTTGAATTGTTGATTAATTATTGAATTAATTAATATTGTGTGGAAATTTTACAAATGAAGGGTAATAAAGGAAGACTTTCCATATAAAAATGGTAATATATAACAGAAAAATAGAATTGTTAAAACCATACTACTCATTGGGTGGCATTGACTGGAATAGAAGTAATAGCCCAGAAATGATGTTTAATAAAAGTAATATCACAGGTGACATGTTCTAAATACAAAAAGAATAAGAGCCCAGAAACTAGCATCTGTTGCTCAAGTCAAAGCTGAAAAAAAACCTAAATGAACATGGCAGAGAAGCAGTTAAATAAACAATGGTACAGCCATTCTTGTTGTCTTTAAAACCTACCACACAGACCTATATATAGTCATAAAAAGATTTTAAAGACCTATGAGGTGGAAAACTCGAATCCCAGACTAATAAAAAAAATCAATAAATAAGTTACCAAATTTTGTTCATGAGTACTTAAGTAAGTATGTAGAAAGAGGTGTGACAGTCGTAACTCATGGTGAGGCGGGGAGGAAGGGAGTGAATAGGACTCACTTATTACAGCTGTCTGTGTTTTCCATGTTGTGTGAGTTTTTACAGCAAGATTTTTTGCTTGTGATTTTATTTTAATTTCATTTTTTTAAAGATTTTATTTATTTATTTATTTGAGAACAAGCAGGGGGAGTGGCAGAGGGAGAAGGAGAAGCAGGATCCCCACTGAGCAGGGAGCCTGATGTGGGACTCGAACCCAGGATCCTGGGATCATGACCTGAGCCGAAGGCAGATGCTTAACTGACTGAGCCACTCAAGCGCCTGTTTGTGATTTTAAAGAAAAGAGAAAAAAAAAAGTTGATCTTATATTTTTTTAAAAATCCTATAGACTTTCCCATCAGTGAGAAACATCTCAGGCAGGCAGTTTCTGGTACTAACTCGTGACATCAGAAATGCCAAGGTGAAGTGTTTCAGACTGTCCAAATTTGGGGAAGGGTATTGCATCTCTGACATTGACTAACTTCACTTAGCGGTCAATCCAATGGGAAACCAGAATTTTACCCAATCAGAATTTAGTGGGTGCTTCTGAGAAGAGGAAAGGCTAGCAGTCAGTAGGCCTGTGTATACTTGAGAAAAACATAATTATAAGTTAATGGTGGATATTTAAACATAAAATGCACATGAGATGCAAAAACAAAGATTTCATGTCACGATTACCTACCCCACCGATAGGACAAGAGCTATTGGCATTATCACAAGACTCTCCTGTGTTGACACAGTGTGGGCCAAGAATATTGGGGGACACATCTCCCAGGTTTGATGAAGCAAAGGCTGCTACATATGGTCCCTGCCAAAAGAAACATCCAAGTGTCTTTTATTCTTTCTTATTTCCCATAATGACTTCCATTAAAAATGCAAACATTTAATCCACTCTGGTGAATAATTCAAAATCATTTGCAGACAATTAAAAGGAGGAGGTATAACATTCTGAGAAAATTTCTGAAAAAAAATTCACATTGCAGTCCGCATATATATTACTACCCATGATATCCCAATGATCAATAAAGCCATCTCAAGTAGGAGAGTTTCAAACCTGTGCCACAAACAGAAACTTTTTGACAAGAAACACAGCATACAACAACAACAACAACAACAACAAGTCATAAAATGCTGACTCATCAAGCTATTCTCTGGTATTGTATTTGGAGCTCAGAGATTTTCCTTGAAAAATAAATTTACTGGCTGAAAAAAAATATAGTGAATCCAGATTTTCCTGTGGCAAAACTGAGCCTAAATATAGTGTCCACCATCTAGATCTGCCTCCGTGTAGCTTTTCTCTTATCCCTTCAACCTGAAGTAACAACACAGAACGTTTTCTGAGTGGTGCAAGACTTTAACCTCAACCCAGCTAGCTGGTCTACCATTCCACCTTCAATGTCTTCAGTTTTCTTAGGGAAAGAGATAATGGAGATCATGTGTCTCTTTGCATACCAAAAAGATAACTTATCTCAATGGGCCTAGCAGCCAGTGATCATAAATGGGAACTTCCTTTCTTTCCCTAAAACTCAATCTAAAATGAAAAAAAAAAAGTGTTTTGTCAACAAGGAGCTAAAAGATCAGATCAAATGTTCAGGGGACCAATTACTTTTATATCATTATACACCTTTTAGATACTTATTCTAGTCAAGGGCCTGGGGCTCTCATCCTCTTCTATTCTTCTGCATTTGGGACTTGGACACTAGGGTCAAACAGAGCAGGGTCCCCCCTCACCACTTAGCTGTCTGTAGTCAGTAATTTACACAGAGTTTTCTGAAGTACACAGACTGAGGTCCAGCCCCCATCTCGAATTCCAGCCCTCATTGCGTTTCAAAGTTAAAAAACAAGTTTGGTGCATTAGGGCTGTCTCTGACTTTGGCCTTAGTGAAGGAAAGGAAGACAAACTCCTTGAAAGGAAATTCATCATTAATAGGGAAATCCAGACCAGTGAAAAAGACGCATCACCTTATCCTCAGTAGGGTTAACACTTACAGCTCTGAAAACAAAAGTAAACAACACAGCTTATCATATTTCCAAGTTGGTCAAAAACCATTCCATATTGCCAAAATCTTGAACTTGTCCTTCCTTATCCAACCAATTGTAACTGTATGAAGCCATCCATATAAGTGGTATTTGACACAGTTAGCCATTTTTAATTTTTCTTTCCCCATCAGGGAGGATGGAGAATTCTTTTTATCCGAGCATGTGAGTATGTGATGACACTTGACGCTGAGAATTTGAATCAGCTACTCTTCTTTTTTTTTTTATGTTCAGTTGGCCACTGTATAGTACATAATTAGTTCTTGATATAGTGTTCAATGATTCATTAGTTGAATCAGCTCTTCTAAGCACTGCATGAATGGTGATACTCAGCACATTAAGATGATGCTTTCAATGACACAAATTCTCACCTGTCCAGGTAGATAGCCTTTGTTCTTCTCTTGCTCAAAAAGGTAAGAGGCATAGCCCATGTTGTCGCTATTGACGAGATGATTGCTGTTGTTCATGCTGACTGGGTGGATGGCAAACCAGCTGTAGGAGAACAAGGAGCCCTTGCTTCGTGAAGAGAACCAGACAATGGGGCCAAAAACAATGACTGGTAGCTTAAGTTTTCCCCAGCAGGAAAGGAAATTCTTTTTAATGAGAGGCATTCCACATTTAGATTCTTTCACTGTTGATGAGCTTAAATGATTAGTAATATACTCCAAAAGTCTAATCATTTACTTAAATTAAAAATATAAAACTCTATTTTTATAACTATCTCATCATCATCATCATCATCATCATCATCATCAAAAGCTTTTAACAAGAGCCAAGACTGGTCAGTGACCAGACAATATAGCTAACGCATTGTGTAGGCAGAGACTTTGTCCTCCAAGACAGGTGCACATAATAATTATTAAAATCAATCCTATCTAATTCAGCAGATATTTACTGAGAGTCTGCTGTGTGCTGAGCACTGAATAAACTGCAGTTTATGCTCAGAATCTTGCAGAAGACAAAGATGAAAACAAATGGCTTTAATACAGTGTGGCAAATGTTGTAAAGAAAGAGGCATCAAGTATTTGGGGATCACAGATGACTAGCAATTAATTCGTAAGGGTATTCCAGGGAAAAGGCACAAGAGAGTAGGTGCAGAGAGGTGTGAAAGAGGCTATTATACATAATGTGATGTATCCTTGTGCATAGTAATACCTTGTTTAAGTGTAGAGCTACACAGTTTATGAACTAATTTCACATCTGTTACCTTACTTGAACTTCACAACAACCCTGAGAGCTAGGCAGTTATTCCTTCCACTTCAAGGTGTCTCAGAGAGGCAAAATGGCAGCCCATGGGTCATCGAGGACCAAGACTAAAGCTCGGGTCCCTTGACACCTTGTCCAGTGGCCTTTGTAGGCTCAAACCTTCACAAAGGTGAAAAAGAGACTTACAGAATGGAGGGCTATGAAGCAAATTCACTAGAATGAATGCTCAAGAAAAGAGAGACGCCAATCTCTAAAGTTTCAGGCCAATTTAAGATTGTAAAAAAAAAAAATCCTTTGTGGATTTAGGTCCTTGCTGAAAGCTTTTTAAGTATTTCAGTTTACATTCCTACCTAAGTAATAGAGTGCACAAAACTGAGCATTTACTTAATGACTAGGGATGTTTCTAAACTTCAAGGCCGTCATTCCGGATTCAGTCCTCATTGCCCAACAAATGTATATGTAGGTCAGAGATCGCCAGCACAACACCCATGGGAGCTGGTCGGGTAACATAGGTGGATTAAGCTGGTTGGTGGAATGGGGACTGGCGGGAACTGTGGATACCTGGAGGCACCTGCATGGTTTAAAGACCATAGCCTCTACTATGCTGCTTATGAGAGTCTAACCAGTCCTGCCAGATCTTCCATAAATCCATGTTTTTGTGAAATATTTATCAATTTAAAAACTCTTAAAGAAGTAAAGGGCATGAGAGGAAGGGGTGGGGGGCTGAACAAAATGGGTGAAGGAGAGTGGAAGATACAGGCTTCCAGTTATGGAATGAATGAGTCATGGATATGAGAGGCACAGCATAGGGAATAGAGTCAATGATATTGTAATACTGTTGATGGTGACAGAGGGTAGAAACTCTTGTGGGGGCGCCTGGGCGGCTCAGATGGTTGAGCGTCTGCCTTCGGCTCAGGTCATGATCCCGGGGTCCTGGGGTCGAGTCCCGCATCGGGCTCCCTGCTAGGCGGGGAACCTGCTTCTCCCTCTGCCTCTGCCTCTCTCTCTCTCTCTCTCTCTCTCTCTGACTCTCATGAATAAATAAATAAAAACATTTAAAAAAAAAAGAAGAAACTCTCGTGGTGAGCACAGCATAACTTACAGAAATGTTGCATCACTTCGTTCTACACCAAAAGTTAATGTAACATTGTGTGTCAACTATGCTCAAATAAAAAATTTAAATTGAAAAAAAAAAAGTAAATAGCATGGGATAGAAGGAGGGGAATTGTTACCAATTGAGAGCCTTCAAACAAATAGCCAACACATGTAGTCTGTGGACTGTTTGGATTCTGATTCCAGTAAAAGGAATGTAAAAAGACTTTATTGGTACAAACAGGGAAAACAGAATATAGACTGGGTTTTAGACCGTATTAAGAAATTATTTTTAATTTTGTTCATTAAGATCAGGGATTATAGTTATACTGTATTTACCTTTTTACCTGATAGAGATACACACTGAAATATTTATGAGTGAAATGATTTGATATCTGGTATTTGCTTTTAAAAGTCTAGCAAAACAAACCAAAAGAAGAGGAGGAATTAAACAGAGTGGCAGAGGATTGCTAATTACTGAAGCTGGATAAGAGTTGCATGGAGATTCATTAGGCTAATCACTCTAAATTGGCATATATTTGAAAATTTCCATAATAGGTTTTTTGCATGTTGACATCCATTTCAAATTTTTCCTTTAAACAGTGTTAGGCCAAATCACCAGTCTATATGCAAAATTCAATCCCCAAGGTATATATTTGCCACCACATAAAGGGACAGAAATTTAGGCTAAAGGTAATTCTAAGGTCATCCCCTAGAAGTTACTTGCAGTTCTATATTTTTAAAAAAATCCTTGCACTAGTTTCTTTTTTGTGTCTGTGGTTTATCTCTTTCTCCTAAAACTCAAGTGCCAGAGAAAAATTCTAGTCAATTAGCATTTTCCAGGTAGTTGGGAGTCTGTGTTTTTGCAGTTTTACTCCATCTAGTTTGGAAGGAAAAGGGGGTGGAGGCCATGACAGTTTCCTGGCTCCTGAACCAAAATACTTGCGTGTGATAGAATTGCACTGAGATCAGCAAGACTCTGCAGGACCGCAATCTCTCTGGTGCAATCAAAGGAAACCCGTAGAACAATTTATCAACACTGACTATCATTTAGCACTGATTAGGTGAAGGATTTTATGCACAGGATCTAACAAGAATGCTTTGAGTCAGATGCTATCATTGTCCTTATTTTACAGCTAAGGAAATGACCTCTTTGAGTGATGCAGTAATCTGACCAAGGTCACACCATCGTAAGTCAAGAAGCAGGTCCATGAATATCCAGTTTGTCAGACCACAGAGCCCAAGTTCTTATCTGCCGTGGGGATACTGGCTCTGTCCCTTCCTTTCATTCACTGGCTTATTCAGTACACATTTCGTTAACTTTTATTCTGTGCCAGGCACTGGAGACGTGGAGATGAACAAGGCATCATCCTGCCCTTGAGGAATGCTTCATAGCGGAGTTGACATCGGAGCTGGGTCTTAAAAGATGACTAGGAACTTGGCAAGGGGATCACTGGAGAAAACTCATTGGTAGCAAAGGCATGGAGATGGAAAGGGGTATAGTGGGTTTGGAGGATGGATAGTCAATCTGGCCACAGCAGAATGGATAAGGGCAGGGAGATATGGCAATTGTTCTACTCATTCAATCAGCATGAGTTTACTAGTAGCCAGGCATGCAGTTGGATTGTGCTAAACCCCAAGGAACATAGAGAAGAACCATCAAGGAACAATAATATCTGAAGAGAAAGAAAATGCTAAGAAATTTGGTCTGCTAATTAGACTTCAGACTTGAATTCTTACTAATTTCATGTATTTATTTTCATTTATTTTAGGCTTTAGAAAATTAATAGAATTTTTTTCTCTACAAAACTAAAAAAATGAGTATTCGAAAAAGTTATTTGAATTTCAGAATAAGAAGATGTTGTACATTTCCTCTTCTGGCCTTTGAAATATATGCTATTAAAATATCTGGCTTGTCACAACAACCAAAGTACTATGGCAGTAGATGAATATTTATAAAGATACGCAGAAAAGTGGTCATCTTAGTTTAAGAAAGCTGCACTCACTATTTTATCTGGTCAAAAAAAAAACATTCTTCAAAGCAGAGTTCAAAAGAGAAAGAAAGGTTGAGGTAGTTTCAAAAGAAGTTAGAATATGGACATAAAAGGATAAATATGCTCCTATTAATAAACACTTCTAAAGGGGCACCTGGGTGGCTCAGTAGGTTAAGCATCTGCCTTCAGCTCAGGTCATGATCCCAGGGTCCTGGGATGGAGCCCCACATTGGGTTCCCTGCTCAGCGGGGAACCTGCTTCTCCCTCTCCCTCTGCCCCTCCCCCCTGCTTGTGCTCTCTCTCTCTCTCTCTCTTTCACTCACTAACTCTCTCAAATAAATAAATAAAATCTTTAATAAAAAAATAGGGGCACATGGGTGGCCCAGTCGTTAAGTGTCTGCCTTTGGCTCGGGTCATGATCCCAGGGTCCTGGGATCGAGCCCCGCATCGGGCTCCCTGCTCTGCGGGAGGCCTGCTACTCCCTCTCCCACTCCCCCTGCTTGTGTTCCCTCTCTCGCTGTGTCTCTCCCTGTTAAATAAATAAATAAAACCTTTAAAAAAATAAACACTTCTAAATAATGATTACATCACAGCTAAAGCAGGGCTCTACAGGGGTCAGCAGGATACAATCAAGGTACCAAGGAAGGTCCAGAGATTTGAGATTTGATCCTATAGCAAAGTTAGCAAAGTCTATAGCAAAGTTAGTGAAAATTTCTGGGTCTCTATTTCCTAAGACTGAACATAATAAATTTTGACTATGCTCTGTGAATCAATACACAGCAAATTAATATAGAATCTTCTAATTATTCTCTTCTGTGTAACTGAGGCATTTTCTAGGGCCTCTTCTAATTCAGACACTCTGCACTTCCCACTCCGAAGCAGAAAAGAAAAGCCAAATGCACAATTGAGCTTCTTCCATATTCTAAAACAGTAGCAAACCCACCCCGAGTGCCGTTCTCTCAAACCTGGGCCACCATGTCCAGCATGCATGTTGTGCCCTGCACAAGGAGGACTTGCAAAGGGGGTAAATGGAGGCTGAAATCCAGCCCCTGATCAGCTCACGGAGCTAGGCACCTCAGTCAGCCCAGAGAAGGGAGCGCCTTCGTATGTTGTGCATCAAGGTCCTACGTGCTAATGGCAGCCCTCTCCAATCTAAATGTCCACCAACTGGGAAAAAGAATATTGTACATCCCCTCAAAG